GCCTCGATCTTTGACCCAAGGAACTGCTGCGGCGACACTGCTTGACTTTGCCGATCCTCCTCCAACAGATCCAAACGTCTTCCAATCCACCCTTGAATGTAACATCGACTTCGGTGGAAATGGCAATTAAGGAACTCCTCAAATCAACAACCGACCCGCCAGAGTCTCCTTGGAAAATGAGGAAATCAGGACACCACCTCACCAACAGCAAGAGGAAGATGAGCCAACACAAGAAACTCCACAAGAGGAGCAGCCAACTCCAACACTCAACTCTGCCGCTGCCATTGCTGGTGCCTTGGAAGCTGGAAATCAATATGAATCCATGGAACTCACTGAAGATGACCTCAAGCTGTTGGATGAAGCTAAAGACAAAGGGAAAGTCTCCAAGGAACATGCTGCAAAAATTACCCGGTGTGTGAATCGGTTCTTCAAAACCATAAAGGAAAATGGAGGCGACATCTTGGCGAATCTTCTGAAGCAAGAACCGGCCAATTATGCGAATGGAAAGAAGATGGATTACGCCTTCTTCAACATCTTGAGTGGAGAAAAGAACATCGATAAGCACACAATTCTCAATCATTGTCTCGTGTTGTGCGGAATGAAATGGCTCTGCTTGAGTGGACCAAACAAGGGCAAACCACTCGCACCAACTGTCTTCGATCAATACATCAAAGTCTTGTCTTCTTCTTCAAAGCTCGCGGGGCATCCAATATAAGTACAAAGAAGATTTCAATGAGAAGGGACAGTTCCACGGCTTCATGATCACCAAGTGGTACCTGATTCGGAAGAGTGATCCCAAGTTCGGAGTCAAGAATTACAAATCAGCGATTGACTGGGATGCGGATGCGAAGATTCGGGAGGCGATTCGTGACGGAAGACTCCAACCCTGGACGAATCCGCAGCATCTCCTGTACGTTTTGCTCTATGTGCTTGGTCGCTTCTTCCTTTTCCGTGGAGGCAAGGAGATGGCGAATCTTTTGCACGAAGAGACATATGGAGGTGTCTACGATCGAAGACTTGGAGAGCTCGCTGGCAATGAGTATGAAGCATTCGTTCTCCCGGAAGATAAGACCAACCGACTCAATCTCGTGAATCCATCGGCATTGAACAAAGAAGATCGCTGCATTGAGTGTATGGAGAATCCGCATGATGTACTCTGTCCGGTCAAGGTCATCCGTTTCTTCAAGGGAAAGTGTCATCCAGACGCGGTCAAGTTCTTGCCAAGATTGCCACCGCCAAACAGCGAAAGGAGTACACACACCAAGGCGAAAACGTGATGTTTGGTTTTGTCCAGCCAAGCACGGAGACACCACGAAAAATCTTGGCTACCACAAGCTGAATGGGTTCACCAAGGAATTAGCGAAGATGTGTGGCTTGACCAATTGGGAAGACATTTCCAATCATGGTTGGCGAGCGTACGGAATCACAAAACTCCATGCAGCTCGCGTCGATCTCAAAACTCGATTGAAGATGGCACGACACAAGTGCGAGAAGAGTCAACTTCCTTATGCTCGCTTGACAAGTGACGGTCTGTTCAAAGCTCATCAGGCATTGCGTGGGACAGATGATTCGATCAGCGCTCAAGACGACAGTGATGAGGGAGCCAAGAAACCCGCTGCCAAAAAGCGCAAAACCAAAACTGCCACCGGTGGAAGAAGAAGAAGAAGTTCCAAGACGCGGCGACGGAGATTCCAGAAGTAGTATCAACTCAAGAAGACGAGGAAGATGCGACTCCCAGTTGACCGAAGGGAGCAAGGACCATAGCAAGATGTCACGAGATGAGCTTTTGGCGGAGCTGGCTCGACGAGACACCACTGGATCGGTTGTAGCCGTTTCAAATGTTGGCGGTGGGTCGGCGAGTGTTGCTGGATCAGCGTTTGGTGGAGGGTCGGCGAGTGTTGCTGGATCAGCGATCGGAGTGGGATCAGCGAATTTTGCTGGAATGGGTGTTGGTGGTGGTACGGCAAGTGTTGCTGGGAGTCAGGCGAGTTTCGCTAGTGGACAGATGATGGCGGTCCCACAGATGCACCACAGATGGCGATGGCGGTCCCACACAGCAGATGGCAATGGCAATCCACAACAATGCGATGATGCAACCACAGATGCCCATGATGATGCAATATCCCATGATGGGATTCAATCCGGCCATGATGGGAATGGGATTTAGTCAGACTTTTCTGCAGCAACAATATGCGAATCAAGTTGGGCCACAGATCATTGTCCCACAGATGCAACAAAAAGCAATGATGCCCAACAGCAACAATTCGCACAGGACAGCAGCAGCAAACCACAGCGGTGATTTGTATTCGGGATGCAAATGGGAATTTAGTTCCGGCGGACAATCAAAATGGAGCCCATCAATACTGAACGGCCTGATCATCATGGTGGATGTTTGCCGGTTCGGCAATGTCTTTTTTGGGGCAATAATGGCTGGATGGGGCATAGCTTTCGCTTTCGATTTTTGAGTTTCGAAATTTATGGGAAAAACTGAATGGTTCTGAAGAGGTCCGATGACGTGTTTTGCGTTCAGTCGGACGGAGAGGTTCCGACTGTTCAACCCCTCTTAACCTTCCGTTAGACAAACACCATAACAATAGCAACAAATTCAATTTCCCAAATCATCTCCTCTAACAAATAGCCCCACTAATCATACAGAATTTGGGAAAGCAAAATTGCCGCTGGTGGATACGGTGTTTGTTGGTTCAATCCCACAAAGTTGTCACATTTAACCCTTGACATCACACATGGTCGCTGATCATTTTGCCGGAACCTTGGAGAGATTTGCCGGAACAAGACTAGTGCGTTGAATCACGAAGAAAATTCTGCTACGTCTTGAGATCTCTTTTTCCAGCAACTGTTCTCTTCTTATAGTGATTTGTCGTGATGTGCGAAAAATTTATCTACTATTTTACTGTGTCGTCTCATCCTGTGACATCCATCATGAAAAATATTTCACAGAAAAGAAACCATCTTGAGAAACCGTTGATTCTTGCGAATTTTACTATCAAATAAGCAGTAAGATGCAATTCACGACTCCTTTTCCGTTAATTCCGGGAAGAACATTCGAAACCGTTGAAACACATGATGCCAAATGCGAATTCCCTTACTTTATCACGCACGTCTCATCCAGCAAAATAACTGTCACGTAGAAAATGTACCAGGCCTACGAGGATACCACCGGACAGATTATAAGAGGAATCCCGAAGTCCGTTGGGAGGTGGCCGATGGGAATTGTTCGCGTTGCCTCCACAATTCTCATAGAATTCCTTCTTTTTCGCCCTCAAGTTCGCAAATTGCAGATGTTTCACCAATGACACGACCTTCCAACCATCCAAAAACCAGTACATTGGCAACATGCCTCGCTCAACAACCATAGCTTTACCGGTTAGACTACTTCCGCCTACGGAGCACCCAGTCTCGAGCCTTCCATAACTGGCATTGGTGCTAACGACTAGCTAGGTATCAATCATACAGCTTTCGGCCGTCCATTCAAAAAGTCCAATATGAACGCTCGCATAATTTGTTCACTCGCTACTTTACCATACACACAACAACCAAGCAAGCAACCAACCAAATAACATCGCCAACAAAAGCAAATCCGCAACCATGGTAACAACACTCTGTCGTTCTCCTGTTCTGACCATTGACTGCAGCAGCAACAAGCGCAGCTTTGGTGAGGAAGACCCAGTCGACGACTTTGTCTACCAGACTCCTCCCCTTACATGGCACAAGAAGCGCTGTACCGATGAACATTTCTTTTCACCTCCCCCTCCTCCACGAGGCAAGTGTTCGACAGCACGCCACTTTTTCGTCTTTCAAGAACAGGACGTGGCCGACATTATGTTGCCCGAATTGGCCAAGCCGCTTCCTGTAGTACCTGACCAAGAAAACTTGACCGCCGACGTGAAACCTCTTGTTCGACTGCAATATCGTCGGCCACCATCTCCCGACATTATCTTGCCGCTGCCAATCTCTCAACCCAAGAGAATAAACCGGCTGCCCCTAGCACCCGTGCTCGAAGAAGAAGAAGAAGACAGCGCACTCATGCCACCACCACTTCCGCCAAAGAAACGTTCGCTCAAGGATGGACATGATCATCATCATCACGACCGAGAGAATCACCCTGCCAATGGCTGGTGTCGTCCCAATCTTCCGGACGCACCGACAAGAGCGGGAACCGAGTATGCTCGATGCGCGTAACAATGGCTTTGTTTTGCAAGGCGCGCCTTTTCTAGAGGAGAGCAGCTATCCACAACCATACAGTACTGACGGCCTCATGCCAATCATGCCAATCATGCCAACATCCAGTCAGCTGATGGAGCGCTTTCCCGTGCCGGTATCTCTGTGCTGCATGTCATATCTGGAAAGTTGGAACCTCACGGTGGCACGAACGAATACACAAGTGGCAGTATAGCTTCTGATCAGTACCATGGCCAGCAGTGAAATTGGGACTATCCATACGTTACCTATGCAACGACAATACGGTACGATCAAGCCATAAGGAGCATCTATTCTCAAAGAGTCTTGTTTCTAGTTAGTACGACTGTACTGGACCGTAGCAAGACGCATCCTGTTTCTCGTCTTCCTCGCCACGTTGTTTCCGAGCCCCGTCCATCGTTCACCTTTGCGCGCTCCTTGATGTTTTTGGTTCGTGCCCGCATTGTTGGTTTCATCTTGGCTGCCTGGATGTAATCGGCGCGTGTCTGTTGCGGAACAATTCGATTCGTTCGACAACCAATGCACTCATCCAAACGTAGCCGACCCTCCTCATGGAACGACATTGATCCAACGATTTAGCTTAGATGCCTGCGTGCTTTCCCGCTTCACCCAAGAGATAGAATCGAATGATTGAATCAATCGAATACGTTCATTGTTTGCAAGATGTTGCACGCCAACAACAGCAAGGAACTGCCCATCCGCCCCTGAAAGGCTGGAAACTTTGGCCAGAACGTCTCATCTCTCCCCGTGATAGTGCCAATAGTCCATAAATCTTTTTTCATTCACCAGATGCAAAAGATCATACTCTTTGAGTCACTGTGGCAGTCGCGGATTGTGTAGGATCTTTGCTCACAAGATGGTGAAAGCAATAAGCGCAAAATATTATTTAGGAAATGACTCCCACACCAGATGGCCAAAAGATTTATACGAACCTCCAGTAAAGTTACCACAAAAGCTTCGAATCTCCAAGCCCAACACCGAAAGAGCTTGCTCCAATGCCCATATCCTTCTAGTTTTCACGCTACTACTACCTCTGTGTATCTTTCACACAAACCTGGACAGCAAAGCGAAGTTGACTGCTCCGCCAAGTTGTTTACCACTTCCTTCGATCCAAACCTCCCAACCCTGTACTTTCCCAGCTCAGCACGATGAAGTTTCTTTCCAGCCTCGTCTTTTTGGCTGCCGGAGCGTCGGCGGCCTCCGTTGGACATGTTGGTGATGACGCCTGTGTCAAATCGACCGATGGAACTGGAATCCAGTGCCGTGACTTGCAGACCAAGGACCATCAGGTTGTTGGATCTGTTTGTGTTGAGGCAGGAAGTGCCATCGAGACCTTGAACATTGCGTTCAACGTACGCCCCGAATGGTCCCTCGAGTCAGCCCAGGCCTGGATCGGTTCGGATATCAACACTGTTCCCCGCGCCGCCAGTGGTAGTTTTGATGTCTCTCGCTTCCCGTACAACCGAAAGGCCATTGAAGAAGGCGAATCTGCCATTCGTTTCGTGCACGAGCTCGTCATGGGAGGACCCATCTGCGAAGATCAAGACTTGAGTGTTGTAGCCAAGGCAACTGTCAGCAATGGCCGTCAACTGTTTTCTGTGTCTGCGGGTGACAACACTGACCTGCTTTACTTCATGTCGTGGCTTGTTGGATCTGATAGCTCCTCCAGTTTCCCTATCCAAATGATCTGTAAATGCCCCGACCAAAAAGACAACGAACTTTCGAAGGCAGCCTCCAGCAAGGCTCTCCGTGGAAGCGGCGAAGTCTTCCGTATGCTTGAAAGTGACGACGACAAGTGCGATGAGTGCAAAGAAGACGACTACGGTTGCATTGAAGCGAAATGTGACTGCGACTGTGACGATGGCGACGAAGACTGCCTGGAAGCCTGCTTCGATGATGAGGCCGAAAGCTCCGACAGCAAGTGCATCTGTAAAGAAGAAGACTATGAATGTAAGTTTCAATCCTGCTGGACTGTTGGGATTGAAAGAAGACATTTCTCACCTATTTTCCCCCTTTTCCATCAGGTATTGAAGCGTTCTGTGATTGTGATTGTGATGAGAATGATGAAGATTGCTTAGATGAATGCTACGATGAAGAACACGTAGAAACGGAGGGCAGGGCTCTTTCCTCAGATGACGATGAGGATGACGATGAGGATGATGAGGGTGATGAGGGACTCTCTGCAGGAACTCTGGCCACTGGTGAGGGACTCCCGGCAGTGACTCTGGCCACAGATGAGGAACTCCCGGCAGGAACCCTGGCCCCTGATTCATTCTCAGATGAAGATGATAAGGATGACGAGGATGATGAGGACGACGAGGATGATGAGGATGATGGGGATGATAAGGATAGTGAAGATGATATTGCGGAGGAAGTGCTAGTGGAGGATAAGGAAGAGAGGCGCAGACTTCTAGAAACATCAAGGTTCCTTGTTCCAGGAAACATTCATTCGCGTGTTCTTGATCTTGATGTTCTCAATGCAACGCAAACAGACCCTGACTTGTTCCCTGACTTTACCTGTGCTGGTTAGTTCCCAATGCTTCCCCATGTTTTCGTCTCTTCTTCGGTGTCTCACACACTTCTTCTCTTGTTTACTTGATGATACATACATACATTCACACCATACATTATTGCAGACATTTGCACCATGGTGGATGATGTAGATGTGTGCATGGCCCACTGCGATGAGTGCAACTGTGCTGATGGAGATTTAAACTGCTTTGATCAGTGCTTTCCAGAGCCACCAGTGGAAGAAATCCCAGCCGAGGGTGCCGAGGAAAACACCAGGAGTGGAGATGACAGTAGTAGCGACGACTCCTCTGATGACTCCTCTGATGACTCCCCTGATGACGGGGATGCGGATAGTCCTCTTGATAATCTCAATGCAACGCAAACAGACCCTGACTTGTTCCCTGACGTTACCTGTGCTGGTTAGTATCCAATGCATTCCAAGGTTTCATCTCTTCTTCTGTGTCTCACCCATTTCCATTCTTGTTTACTTGACAACACATACATACATTCACACCATACATTATTGCAGACATTTGCATTGAGGAGGATGTAGATGCGTGCATGGACCACTGCATCGAGTGCAACTGTGCTGATGGAGATATGAACTGCTTTGATCAATGCTTTTTAGAACCAGAGGAAGCAGTCTCGGATGAGGCAGTCTCGGAGGAAGCAGTCTCAGAGGAGGCAGTCTCAGAGGAAGCAGTCTCAGAGGAAGAAACCCCAGCTGAGAGTACAGAGGGTACAGAGGGTACAGAAGGTACAGAGGGTACAGAAGGTAGTGGAGATGACAGTAGCAGCGACTCCGACGACTCGGACTCCAGCTCCGACGATGTTGAGAAGTGTGGAGAAAGTGGTGATAAGTGTGGACAAGACAATGGTGACTCTGACGATTCAGAGGATGAAAGCACGACGTGATTCTACTAGCTAGACTTGCCCATGGATTCCCATACGTCACGAATGCCTTGACTGTCCAACCCAAACCTTCATATATTATCTGAGCAGTCAGTAAAACCATTAGATAAAAGGTTCTTTTGCAACCATTTGTCTGGTGGGCCTAATAGCTATCTAGCTAGTTGCAAGCTATATATTTGAACAGAAACGAACGAACGAACGAACATCTTCAGCGAAGATGGCAACCAATCGAGTGAAGAAAGCTACCTCTAGCTAGAGAGACCATCAGGGGCAAGCAAAAAATCAATGAGCATTGTCATCCTCCTCATCTTCCAAATCAATTGCACTAAACGCCTTTTTGCACTGAACTTTTTTCACGGGACCTCGTCCGGAAATGAATTGAATTGAAATGAGCTGTGGGCAGGAGGCAAATGAATGATACAAGTAGTGTAGCTACCAAGTTGGGTTTGTCATATCTGTCTCTGTGTTACGATTCGATTCTAGCTTTTCAAAAAGGTTTCTCGTCCATGTATCTGTCTGATGATCGACTCAGCCAAGGGTGCTTCACCAACCAAACTTTGTCCTTGCCTGTGGGGAACTGTGACAGCAGTGAGGAGAGATCTTCCAAATAATAATGCGACGGGACTACGGCGGTACATGATGCTATATCCACCATGTTCGATTAGGGGAAACAAATGTGGCACAATCAGGTAAGTTGTTTGCCAGCCAATGTAGCCATCTCGTTCACACACTATTTATTGTTACATACATTTCTGCCCCTGGCAATAATGACAAGATGTATCTGCATATCTACATCCATCTTCGAAACGTCTAAAATGACACCTCCGACACATGGCTTGGCTGCTCTCTTTTTGGGAATCATTTGTGGCAATGTCTTGATGGCATCTTGTGGACTACCGGTACGTACGTGTAAATTGCTGCCATTCTCTTTCTGTGCTTCGCTATATCATGTTTATATTGTATTATTATTATTAAATATCGACCTTGTAATGTGGATCCTTCATCAATTGGGTGAGATGTTCGGCCTGCACGAGTACGGTATCAATGTTGGTATCGGCGAGTTTGAAGCAGGCTTCAATCTTTTTGAAATCGGTCAAGTGTTGGTTGGCTCTAAATTCGGATCTTGTCTTTTGAACCACAAAGTTGCGTCGATTGGGTGTCGGCATTTTTTCCGCTCCTCGCAGCAGCTGTCGATACAAACTCAGTGCTCGAGCTCTCATTTGCGGTGGAATACTGTTGGATACTGGTGTTGTTGTCATGATGGTCGATGGTAGTGCTAGTGATAGTGATGATGGTGGATGGTTTGTCGTTGTGGTGTTGTGGTCAAGAGGTTGTGGTCAGTGACAGCGCAAAATGGTCAGGATCTTGTGGCTCAAGCTACAGTAGGGTTGAGGCTTGAACGGTAAAACCTTACGCAAACTGTAAACAAAGGCTTTTTAAACTATAAATCTCAAGATGAAGACGCAATGATTACTTTTAAATCTGAGAACGTCACTAGGAAAGCGACGAGCCAATCAAAACAGCGTGAACGGAATGATGTCATTCCCATTTTACGTTTCGCACACACACTTCCTTGCCAACTCATACCGTAGCAAAAGTGCACTCCTTCCAACAAGAAGAAAGAGACAAAAAGACAAAAAGACCAAGCGGAAAATGGCCCAAGCGGCATGTCCCTTAACTTGTTCAGGTACTTATTACGGAAGTGCATTACGACCATCGACCGACCCCTACCTACCTAGAGCCAGCTACGGTAGTCACTAGCAACAACACAACACTACACAACACAACACAACCCCACCTGTCTCTGAATGAAAGACTAGCTAGCTAGCTTAGCCCTCCGCAAGAAGCAGCAGTGTCCATTGTGTCCTTGTACTGTATTGTAGTTTTCGTCCAATCTCTACTACTAGCTAGAGCTTTGACTCAGGCAAGCAGTTACTTGTTCGGTAGACCACTACTACACCTATCCTTCAGCGGGCTGTTCGATCGGTCTGCCATCGATTCCTCTTTCTTCCATTCCTTGTGTGTATACTAGTCTTGTGTGTGATCAAACGCAGCCATGCCACGCCCCAGTTATTGCTTGGCATGTCTGATGATCAAGCCGACGTATTCGTTGCGACGACAATTGATGATCAGTTATGGTTGCACGGCGTTGTTGACAGTGACAGTGTGCGTAGTGGTCGCTGTCTTGTCGGCCATTTCGGCGGGCCATTTGGTCAAGACCGATTCGAGATTGTACATGAAAGAACAAGTCTTGGCCAGTATTCAGGCGACCAGTCGGTACGGGACAGCCGCCATGACGGCGCGTCTCGCCAATCACCAGGGGACGGTCGGGCTTCTCGAAGAATTTGTTCTCGATCGCATCGTGGGATACCCGTATGTCGAATACTACAACAACAATTCTCAAGTTCCCTTTTACGATATGGATTCCCAAACGGCCGTCTATCCACTCGACATTCCGTTGCCGACAGCCAACAACAACAACAACAACGACAGTTTGATGCAACTGGATTTCAATGTCGAAATGAACCTCCACGAACAAAACGTCGTCGAGAATACCCAAGAACGAGCGGCAGCGTATGGCACTGGCGTCAGTACATCCCATGCCAACTTTCACTTTCAAGGAATCTGTGATCCCAACGCTACGGAAGACAGTCGCGTCTACTATCCCAATTGTACCGATGCCAACAATGACTTTTTCACGGGAGGTGTCGTGTCACCGTCCAATACAACCCTCTGGTTGGCGCAAGCATCGGCCGATTTGGTTCCCGCCCTCAAGGCACTGTGGGAAACCCAATCGTCGGCGATTCTCATTGGCGTCTTTTTTCACAATCGAGGATCCGGCGCGGCCGTGTCATTTCCCGGTCGCCAACGAGCGCCGTCGAGCGGCTACGAGTCGGTCGGATGCGATTGGATGGCACAACCGAATCCATTGCGGCCACATGAACCAATTGGAACGCCGGAAGAAATTGCCAAGTGTCATCCACAAGGGACATTTGTCCATGGACGAGAATACAATCCCGTCGAACGGGATTGGTGTCGCAAACAAGTACTAAAACCGAATGAATATCACTTTTTTGGACCGTACCATCCACCCCGGGCACCTCCCGGTGTGTGGCTCTTTGGATTGGGCAAGGCGCTCTATGATCGCAAGACGGGACGATTCGTCGCGTGTACCAGTGTCGATTTGAGTTTGTACACGGTCAATCAAGATCTCAAACGAATTGACAATTATACCAAGGGAGCACTGGTGCTCGATGATGGAACCATTGTTAGTGGAGGGGAATGGGTGTCGGGAAACACTACGGAAACGTTGGCGATTTACGATTCGTCTTGGCTCAATAAAGACGAGTGGATGCGATTGACCAGTCAAAACTTTACCGAAACATCCGATGGGACATTTCCCGATTGGGATGACTATCAAGCCATTATTATTGAACAAGAAAATGGTGGTAGCTTTGTCACGGCGTATCCCATTGTGCTCTCGTCGGCATCCTCCACGACGGGGACCGGACCCGCCAAACCGGACTTTTGGTTGGTCTTTTGTACACAAGGAGAAATATTCCAAGTCTTTGATGACATGGATCAAGCCATTGATGACGAAGTTGGGGACTTGATACGAGCCACTGTTATTACTGGCGTGTTGGGTGCTTTGGTACTTTTGATTGTGATTTGGGTCATTACACGAATGTTGACGCGACCACTGGCATGGATTGAAACCGTTGCCTGGAAGATTGTCAATCATGACAAGGAAGAAGACAATAGTCTGAATGAAAACACCAGTATTCTGGAGGACGACGAGAAGAACACTTACGCGGGAGAACACGGTTCCGCTCTCAAGCATTGTGTCCCCAAAACGGAAATTAGTGAACTTGTGGCAGAGTTTTCCAAAATGATCCAAGGATTCAGTGGCAAGGGTGCTTCCAGTGTAGCCAAGTCTCATGTCCAGGAAATACCCAACATTCTAGAATGGCAGACTGATTTCCACTATCTCTACCATCAACATCGTCGTTCCACCCTGCAGAACAACAGAAACCAAAACAACAACATGAAACGCAGTGATGTTCACGCGCTGTCGTGTCATACCAAACAAGCCAGGAAACAGTCGATCGGGACGGTCGAGGAGAAGGCTAAGGAGGAGAGACACCCGGACGCCCCCATCATGAGAAGTGCCAGCAGGTCATCGAACGGAGGTCATTCTGTTTTCACGGATGACGATGATGAGATTGAATACGACAACTGCCTTACGACACAAGAGCAAGAAAAACCACTCGGTCACGCCGCCGACTATGACCACGACGACGACGATTCATCAGATGATGACGAAGACGAGTTGATGGCACCGTACGTTCCAGTCATGGCGCCCCCTAGAATAAACCTCGGACCAAACATCCGGGCGTCATCGTACCATCGCAAGGGGGATGCAAAAGACCCAGACGGTGCCAATCGCGGTCAAGCAGTGGCAGCGACAAGATCATCACTGTTCCGCTGGATTCTTTTCTTGGTGGTCGTCCCACAAGTCCTGACCGCCGTCTGCATCGCAGCTTTGGTTTCTCATTCGATGCTCAATGTCTTACCAAGCTGGGTGACACTATCGGAGGATGTTTCCTTTGAGCTCGCAAAGGATACCATTGAGGTTGCAGCAATCAACAGAGCATCCCTCGCGGAATCAGTGTTGCAAGGGCCGGTGCGAGACCTCTTTCTGCTGACGCGAATGGCAGGGTGGCTCTTGCTAGATGGAATTGTACGGTCGAGCAGTTTTACAGAGGTCACCGAAAACGTTGAAGAATGCAAAACTTACTCGGCAAGTCTGGATGGCGTCGAGTGCCCAGCCTACATTGATCCAAGCAGAACGCAATGCGACTGCGATTGGAATGATCTTTTCGAGCTGCCGTGTCAAGACTATGATGAGTTCGAGTCGCGGAAATTTCAAAAGCTGTTTTACGAAGGAAAAAAGACCGATGTCGATCCAGTCACCGGCAAACGCAACAATAGCGCCAGCTTTCCCACGGTCGGCCACAGTCCGTCGACAACCTCTTGGTGGAACGACACCTCGATGCTGCCGGGGGCTTCCAAAGGGTCGAATGCGTCGGGTTACACTACAACGTACGATCGCTTGCGAGTTGCATCCGCCTTATCCACTACGTTCTTCCCTGTATACAACTTCAGGAATGGCGGAAAGGGCAAGAAATACTTTGTCGCGGGAGCAATTGCATTTGAAATGGATGGAATGATGGTTGGATACAGGGGGTGCGACTATGATGCCCAATTATCCCACTGGGTTTCGGGAAAAGACAATGAGGCAGCCCAAGTGCGCCCGGATCTTTGCCCGCTGAACAGCTACGGATTCGATCCTAGGTGCAGAGGGTGGTACGACACAGCCAAGAGGCGTGCAACAGAAGGACACGGCTTGTTTATCACGGCTCCGTACAAACTCGACTTCTTCCACCAGGCTGAAACTACAGCGACGTCGCCATTGATCGACACGAGAGACAACACTTACTTGGGACAAGTTGCGCTGGACTTTCGGATACAGGACATTTTGGCAGATGTAGCCCAAGAAACAGACGAGTACTTCAGCTTCATTGTGTCGCCTTTATTGGATGCTGATTCGCAGGGGGACACAGTCGCGGGTCCAAACTTTGAAATTGGAAGCCCCCCCGAGTGGATTGCAGATTTAGTTCTGCCTGGGGACGGAAAAACTTCCAAGAACTACCATGATTTCAAGAACATTACACTCCAAATGAAAGGTGGTGCATCGGGCGAAGCTGAATTCTTTCGAATGACCGACGAAGGAAAGGAGGAGTTGATCCACATGTTTTATGCCCCCGTCCATGTGCGGACGCTAACCCCTGTTCAACCAAACGATTTCAGCAGAGGTGTCAACTTCTCTTATGACGTCGTCTACTCGATCGGCTTAGCTCAAAGCGATGAAATGCTTCGAGCCCCATACCAGCATGCAGAAGAGGAGGTAAACAAGAAGATTCGGAATGTTGAGGTTGTTTTCCTTGTCCTGGTTATTGTTTCGTTGATTGCTTGCACCATCTTCACTGGTCTGATATCAATTGAGGTAACCACACCCACCTTGATTCTTCTCCAAGTTGTCAAGAATATCAATGCGGGGAGAATCGACGATGACCTACCTCCACTGGAAGGTGGCAGCAGGGAAAGCAATAAGGTGTACATCGCCTTTGCGAAGCTCTTCAAAATTGTTCGCGTTTCAAATACTGCTTTCTTCAGCGGAAATCTGGAGTGGGCCTACCATTTTGTGAGGGGTGCACTGACGCTCTTTCACAAGATCAACGACCGCAAGGCGATTGGCGTGGCGAGCAACAACATTGCGAACATCCTTTTTGCAACGATTCTGGAGAAGATGCAAACGAGGAAATCAAGCGAGCCTAAGGATCGTGTATACCTCGGGAAAGTTTGCTGCCCCGAGGCTGCTTCGCACCACTACGAGGAATCTATCGCCATTGCAACAATGGACCTCAACAATGCGCCTCTGTTGGATGACAGATGCGGCTATGCATCACAGCTAGCAGACCGTCACTTTAATAGAGCCATGTTTCATTTGAGAACATCAGGGGAGCCGCGTGCATCGGATTGTCAAGAAAACCACCAAGGCTACGAAGATTTGGCGAGAACGAAGGAGTTGGATATCGATGTTCGCGAATACTGGTTACACCACAAGCTTCTGATGAGTAATTCTGACTTGTATTTTGACCGCATCATTCGCCGTCTACGAGGGCTTTCCATTGTGAATGACGATGTCAGAGTGAAGGAAGTTTGGAATGTCAGAGAACTTGTCGAGGAAGGGGACCGGCTGCTTTTTGCTGCATGGGGAGAGGACGTTCCGCTGTTTCGTGAACTTGGCCAAGTCGGTCGTTTGCAGCAGCTTGAGAGCGCCCTGATCTCGTTGGAACTGGCGTCTGGAAATGTCGAGGAGGCCGCTCGACTTGCAATGCGGATGATCATCGAAGATGAATATTTGCTTGATTCCGCCTTTGTTGCTGCAGCCGACGCATTCTTTCGGTTCATGAACATGGAAAGTTCGAAGGCTCCAATGTGGTCGACCAGTACAGTTGCAAAGACAAAGGCCTCCATCAGAGAGATGTTGAGGATGTGCAAAGACTCCTCATTGGACACTGGCAAGGGGTTGGTGTTCTGCTTCGCGATTGGGAACAGTGATATGGCCGAAGAGACTTCTTCAGAACTGAAGGAGCGCTGTTTGTCACTCTACGACCAGCACAGCGGTAAGGACGACGTCGTTGGTCTGGTTGGTGGTGCGTTCTTCGCAGATGTTTTGAAGCACAAGGGGGCACGTGGCGCTGTCCAGCAGGAGTTGTTTGACGAAAGCTGTTGTCAGTCTAGCGGTGCAAGCGCGACCGAAGTGCTCCTTTCAGCTCAACAGCTTATTGCGGAATGCGCCGATTTCCACGACAGCGAGACCTTCATAGTGCTCGTGACTGATGACAACGTTTCGAAAGCAGACATCGACAGAGCTATGACCCAGCACTCGTCCGGAAAAGTCAAGAAAGGAAGCATTCAAACCATGGTCATTGGGTTGGCATGCAACGACGGATGCTCTGGTGATAGAGGAAACCAAACTCGGATAACCAGCACTCGTGGTGCGCAGCACATTTGCACGTGCTCGCAGTCGATTGGGGATGCAATTGAGGAGGTTTCTAACATCATCGTGGGTACAGCTGGATTTGCCAAGAGTTCTCAGCAAGGTATCACAATGGAGAAATTCTAAAACGGGCGGGGGATGGGTTGCGGGATTCTCATTGCCGAGAGCAAAGATCGAGCGCGAATCTTGTCAGATTGAGTGTTCCAGATCGAAGATTCCCCGTCGCTTAGTGGGAAAATTTTGTGTCGGAGCAGATTTGCCATTCTTGTTCTTTGAACTGTGCTTCTTGAATGGCATCGGCAGACGAGTAAACCATTGGCTGCAGCGGTCTACTAACCAGAAATCCCGTAGGCACAGTAGTCCACTAATAGTAGGAAAGGATATCTCAGCCCAGTTACAATAGTTACTTGGGGCAAGGATCACAAGAGCAGCCACAAAGATTAGTTCCGTAGCAGACTGCCAGGTTGGTTGTTGGAACCATAGAGTTTCCCACCAAAACTTTTCATTTCATGTGGTGAGAGTATGGCGGCACACAATCCATCAGGGATACTGCCTGTCAAGGATGTGTTCATGACTACCAGGCTGGTCAAGTTGTCCAACAAAAGTAGTTCCGTTGGAAGGGTTCCAGATAAGTTGGTATTTTGCAGTTCAACCTCCTCAAGACTAGACAACAAACCAACTTCTGTTGCAAGTGAGCCTGAGAAAAGGTTGTCATTGATACGGAACTTCTGTAGCTGGCTGAGTTGGGGGAGCACATCTTGTTCTAGTGGTCTGCCTTCTAATTGGTTGGAATGAATGAGCAGTACATTTAGCTCTTGAGGGAGAGCAGACAGATGGACAAGCATGAGCATGAGGTGAATTTGCAAATCTGGTATGAGAAGACAACTCACGGGACATCTTTGATAACTCTTCTGGCAAAGTGCCAGTAATGGAGTTCCTTTGCAAGTACAAGTAGTTCTGCACAAAAAAACAAAAAAAGACACAACTCCCTTATTGCGTAGAGGCACCATCACCACACCAGGTTCATTCATGATAACTAAGTTTGTCAACAATCCCATCTCACTTGGCAAAGGGCTGTTAAGTTGGAAGTCGCTCAAAATCAGGGTTGCCAGGTTGGTCAGCTTGCCAATTTCAGCTGTTCACAGAAAAATTTCCAAAACATATTCAGCAACCAGAAGGCGAAGACAAAGAACATATCTGATGGCACTTACATGGAATGGATGTGAACCCCCCCCCGCTTTCTGGTTGCCTAGACTTAGCATCTCCAAATTGTGCGGGTTTCCAACTACCTCAGTGAGGAAAGATGTTATATCCAATCCAGGGCAATCTAAGAAACTCAACTTCTTCAGGTTCGACAATCCAAGAATCTCAGTGGGGATTGACTTCAACAATATTACTATGTCGGCCCATCTTTTAATTCAGCTCGCCGGTATATCTATTACACCTCCGGTGTCCTTTTTATTAAAAGGGGGGAAGTTTTCGTCAGCCAGTTGCTTTGAGTGGTACCGTACCGGTACGGTACTGTAGGGTTGAATTAAGTTTTGCTGTTTTGGACATCGATCGAGCTGCCCTCGCAAATGACGCGGTGGCAACCCGCAGTGCTCACCAAACTGGTGTTGGAAATTGCCTCGTTGGCAGGTGGCAGCAAGGGCCATTGAGACGTCTTCCCCAGGACAGATTGATGTCTTCGTTGAAGCGGACTACCTTGCAAAGCTGGCTATGATGGCCAGCTAGTTAGAGTGTAGATCGCTCCGTCGTTGGGATAGACTTCCTTTCATAGCGCCTGCAGCTACCTAGCTAGTCTATGGGGCGTCTTTCTTGCTAACTTTAATTTAGTTTTATCGTTTCGTTTTGTTGACCAGATTAGTTCCTAATTGTTTATGAGTCCTCATTGCTTCTATCTTCTTGGCATTTGGCACTGCCTTTTCAAAAGGCGAGCTACCATGTTGCTGCTGCTTCTTTTATTTTCAAATGTATGTACAGTTGGGTGTTGGTTGACCTTTTGGTCTCTTCTTGTGTGTGCTCTCATCATGCACTTCCTTCATTTACTTGCTACCGATGCGAAAGAGACGTCCTTTGGCATACTGACGATCGAGGAATTCGTTGCACTCCTTCCAACGATTGCGGGGCACATAACTCAAAGGCGTGAATCCTCTCTTGTCGAGAATGTAAAGCTGCATGGGCGATTCGCCAAGGAGCAACTCCATCTTTTCCAGCGTACCCGTACTGGCCGCCAACGACCAGGCGGCATCGTGGAGGGGCGTACGACCGTAATCGCAACAGACCCGCATCGAGACACCCGCTTCGGTGAGCAAAAAGCGGAGCATTTCCGGAGTGCCACGACGCACTGCCAAGTGCACGACGGTTTCTCCAAATTGATTGCATGCTTGCATGCGATGTCCTTGTTGATGCATTTCCTTGAGCGCGTCGAGATCGTGGTTGCGAATCGCGCGAGTGAGTTCGTTCGTCCACGCACTGACGTATTCGGGCTTGACGGGCAAAAAGAATCCTTCGAGACTGTCGTAACTAAAACGTTCGGGTGTTCCACCAATGAGAGTGGCGAGGTAATCGTCGGGTTTGGGAATGGATTCGTCGTACTTCTCTTCTTGAGGAGCTTGCATGATGGATGTCACCATGTTGCCGTTGAAACTGATGCTGTGCTTGATCTTTTTGCGTTCTGCCTCTTGCGCTTTTTCCACGGCCATTTTCATCTGCAACAGATTGGCCATGGACGAGGAACCTTGCACACCGCGACGGAGTGGACCACCGCCGCCGGCAAGAATCATGGTGGGCATTTCTCCACCGCCGTTTCGGTCACGACGTCTCCGGTTCGACTTGCGAGAATCGCCCATGCTGCTGGTTCCCAACATGCTCTTGAGCGAACTGGCCGAACGCACACGCTGCAATCCAGTGCGCATCTGGTTCATACTCGCTTGGACATCCACCGCCATGGCGTTCTCGTCTTCGTGTTGCAGCGAGACGTCGCTGTCATCGTCGTCATCACTCGAGTCTTCATCGCTGTCTTCTTCCGAATCCTCTTCGCTGTCGTCATCGTCATCGTCATCACTGTCACTACTGGAGAGGTCTTCGTCGTCGCAAAACATGAAATCAGAGGAATCCATGGGATCCTCCGCGATACCACCGGACGCCAAGCTTTGATCCATCATCATCATGAGTGCCGCTGTGGATGCCTTGACGGGCATTGTACCTTGTGTGGAACCGGGGCTGCTGCTTCCAACTTGATTCAGATATACGGGCATGCTGGTGGTGGGCATGGATGGAGTGATCGAGTGTTGCTTTGATTATGAGAGGAGTGTGGGTTCCTGGAGGTTGGTTTTATGAACCCAATTTACCCAGCAAGGTCTTTGGTTGTAAGGAACGGCGTGGTTTGAGGGATGATGCAACAGCCACGGTGGTTGACGAACCAGATCACTCCAGATTCAGCATCGCGCCATGTCATCAGACTGGTAATGACCACTGTGGTGAGTTGCCGCAAGCTGTGCCGCCACAGCCCCAAATTGCCGTACAGCCACGTTCACCTTCAACATTTCGTTGAAGTTGGGACTGACGTGGCCATTGGGGATTTAATGTGAAGGAAACCATAGATTTAAGAAGCCAATCCTGAATTGCCAAACTCAAACCTCAAAACTTCTTTTTTATCTATTGTCAACACACATTGTTACCCCAACCTCAGTTACCGGTACCGGAGTTGGTTGGCCAGCCCATCAGATTGGCTGCCAAATGAGTGATGGGTTGCGCCTTCAGTGCTTTTGCTTGAGACCGCATGCAGCATGAGCAAGGTCGTTCAATGCTGGCTAATAGTTAGTTAGAGTATTGATTGATTCAAACATACATGCACCTGCCTTCTTCACAATATTTGTCGCCTTTCCGTTCAAATCTCTCTTGTTGCTGGCTCTCTACCTAGTAGCTTCCTACCGGTAGCAAGCTACAGCAGATGACGGAAAAAACAGCGAATCATGACCGCAGCCCATTATTTAGCTGCACCTCCACGGCCATGCAAATCCTTCTGTATCGAATGATGCGACCCAGCTCGACGTGCATGGGATGAGGTAAATTACTTCCGTTTTTTGAATGTTCCGACTTTGTTCAAAGCAGTGTGAGGCAGTAGAACGCATGGAAAGTAAGAATCCAAGGCAAGACGAGGGGGAAACGGTTTTAGAGGGAAAACAGGAAGGCTTGAAGAAAGCAAGCGGCTTTTCAGCCAACACTCTTCATGTTCCAATGGGCAATTTTGGCAACTACAGTTCAACTAACTACTGAGAAGGGAATTGCAATACTAGAGTAGCTCATCAAGCTCGAGGATAGGCTACCGACGGTACGGGAGAATCTGACTACATCTAAAGCTACCGAGTCACCAAAATGCAAGAGTGGATACTCTACTAGATTACTGGGAGTACATGTAGACTAGTGTTCGCAGTCAGCCACCTAAACGATCTATCTAGCCAGGTGTGTAAAAGGATGTTGTGTACGTCTATGGCCCGCACATTGAAAATCAATTTCTTTCAAGGACACAAGATCCTCATCAACCCAACAGCTGAACGTCATGTCTCAGCCACAGATCAAAGGACTGCATACATCATGGAGTAAAGGGTCCTACAGTCGTACCGGTTCCATCATCGCCTCCTGACTCCTGACCTGTGGCTTGCTGTTGGCTGAGACAGCAGCTTTAGCAAGTCTTTTTTTATTAAGCAGACTTCTACATGTACCTTGATTTTCTTCTCGTCTAGATGCCTGACTCTCACTGGTAGAAACGTACGCTGTAACAGCTGAACCTAATACTTTAGTGTTCTTGCTGCCGTAGATGACCGGTCTTCTGCAGCGCCAAGGCACGCCATCACTGCCAGGGTTCCAAAAAAGTTGTGGGTTATGCCGCTGGCATAAGAGGTGTTGAAACCAACTGGATACAGTGTTTACTAGCCAGCCATGAGACTTGACAGGCTCCAGCGAAGCCCTATGGAGCCAACAACCAGCCACGGGGCCACGGCAAAAACTTGGCTACTGTACCTGCAACACCAGCCAAAGGAGAGCCAACGTGATGTGATGACTGACTCAGGGTCTGAGAGAATCAATGTACGAGTAGCGAAAGTGCACAAATCGAGTTAGAGCGTGGAGTGGCCAAAGCAAGATACCTTAGTCTACTTGTGATGAGCTATGTATTGTTTAGGAAAGAGCAACTAACCAGGGGCTTGGAGTCCACTCCACCTGTCGTGGTGCGGCAGCCGCGCAGCGTAGAACTTGGTCCATGGGTACGCTCCCCGGGATTGCCTCTTACCGGCGCAGGTAAGTATCCAAGTCATTTCGTCGCTTGCTTTCGTCGAGTGAGAAACTTGATCTGGGTCTTCCTTGGGCTCTTTTGTGTGTTCGTATTTCATTGATTGAATCATTCAAGTCGCGGGCTGCTCGTACGGTACCGCAAAGGCACAGGTATCATACCGGTACTGCTGGTACCATCCGGTGCGGACGTTCTAGCCAGACGTGTCGACCTCGAACCCAGATCTCTCTCTATCTAGCCTGGCTGGTATCCAGCAAGTTTTATGGAGCTACAAACTAATCGTAGCGACAAACCAAAACAAGTTCTGAACAAAAAGAGCTTCCCTTCGAATGCTTTCGTTCCGTGCCTACCTGTACCTGTACCGTACGGTACTTGCCATCTGCTAGAAGCGATTACTTTAATAACGCTCGCTCAGTGAAAGGTGGCATTCGTTCGTGCGATACAATGGTCCACGTGCAGTGTGTTCGTTTGCTGGCTCGAGCAACAGAGACACAAATTGCGGAGACCTGAAATTCATGTAAAGCTTTTCCTGTCTTGATCATGTATGTGTCGTGTCCATCTTCTCCGCGCACTGCAAGCTTTGAAAACCAGAAACGGTCGCTTCACACAAATGGCATTTGCTCGCATACAAAACACAGCGGAATCGAATGGAATCGCACCAGTTCCCAGAAGACATGTGAGTGTGGTAATTATACATAAAACATAGCGTATCTAAGGCTTGACAAAAGCCAGGTCGTCCCATAACCCGGATTTTTCCAAGCGATACAATTGATATACAATTGAGGACATATTGAGACAGCAGTTGTGCACGCCCAGCCTCGACGCGACCCAGCAACCAGAGCACAACTGCTGCATAGAGAAATTAAAAAAGTTTGGTGCGTAGTTCCCGAAGAAAAAGAGACACCGTGACTCGAAGATTTGCTGCCCATTTTGCTTCGCTGCAATCGGGCGGGTTGGATCAGTCCAAGGGACGTACGAAGAGCCAAAGCGACGGGCAGAGCGAGTGCAGCGACTGTAGGCCTCTCTGTTCATCCCGATCTCATCCGAGCCTGAATCGAATCCGTAGATTGGAGAGTTGGTCGTGTCGTTGATCGTTCAAGTAGCCACTGCCAATTTCCCAGATGGTTGTCAGCTGTAACCGCCAAGTCTGGCTGCGAAGAGTCCGCACACGTGCAGGTGATTACATTGTGGGCCTCCCTGGCCAACCCCCAGCGAGCTTGGCTCCGACACGTAGTGGTTGATCATCCACGAGCTGAAGATTGCACCATTTCAAGAATTTGACAAGGAGACATCCGCGACCTCGCATCGTTCTGGACCAGCCTCTGCAACTACCAAATAGGAAAACTGTGGAAGCAACTTGTAGTTGACAGGAACAACATAATGTAAATGAAAGAATCTGTCGTCAACGCCAATTGAGGACCGCCGACCTGAAGACAATTGCGCTACGCCAACAAGCGCTAGTGCCGAATTGGCGCGATGGAAGATTCGATTTGCGATGGAAGATTGGAACAACGCCCGCTTTCCTTGGCTAAGTTCGCTACGCCAACAAGCGCTGGTGCCGACTTGGCCCGATGGAAGATTCGATTTGCGATGGAAGATTGGAACAAGGCCCGCTTTCCTTGGCTAAGTTCGCCACGCCAACAAGCGCTAGCTAGTGCCGACTTGGCCCGATGGAAGATTCGATTGGATTCGCGATGGAAGATTGGATTCGCGATGGAAGATTGGAACAAGGCCCGCTTTCCTTGGCCAAGTTCGCAACGAATTGTGGATGGCTTTTAATGAAGCTCCGTGCATTGGATGAACTCCTCTGCGGCGGAGAGTTGGAAAACAATCGTTAGTGTTGCGATCCTCGGCATTTCAAACAGACACAAACACACGAACGTACCACTACTGCGTGTCCTGCGGCTGCATGAAGTCTAGCTGTCTACCTACAAGCTCTTTTTGGAATGATTCAATTCCGACGTGAGCGCTTCGAGCTTGTTGGTCAGATCGGCATTGGATTGTTCCTTTTCTTCCAACAACTGGATCATTTGCAGCGTGGTTTGATTCATCTTTTCCTGCAACTCTTGTTGCACTTGTAGTTCGGTCGTAATGGCTTCGTTCTGCGCCGCCAAATCTTGCTTGTCTTGTACGTCTTGTTCGAGTTGTTCAATCCTGGCTTCCTTGGCGGCCAACTCGGCCGTCATTTCTTCGAGTCGCGACGTTAATTCGTGACATTCCTTTTCCTTTTCTTGCAACAATTTGGATTTGTTATTCAACAATTCTTCGAGTTTTTGACATTCCAACGCTTGCATTTCATACTGACTCTGCAATTCGTGCAATTGTTCTTCGAGTTCTTCATTGGTACTACCGGATGATGATGACGATGACGCCACGGACGCCGCTGCCGATTGTTGTTGTAAAGCTGCCGTTGCCGCCGCTGCTTCCGCTTCCATTTGTTCGACGGCCGTCCGTCGTTCTTCAATCTCCCGCGACATACTTTCCAATGTTTGCGTCCGTTGAATGATTTCATTGCGTTTCACCTCCAACATTTGTGTCATTTGAAACGTTCGTTGATTCATTTTGTCTTGTTGTTCCAATTGTGCTTCGAGTTCAATCATGAGTTGGCGGTGTTCTTGGGCGGCCTCTTCATTCTCTTGGGAGGATTTGCTGGCGGCCGGTGGTGGTACAGTGCGAAGTCGTGTCAACAAGTCTTGACATTCTTGTTCTTTGAGTGCAAATTTGTGTTTGGTCTCTTGGAGTTCTGCCGCAAGTGTTGTCTGCTGTTGTTTCAAATCGGTAATCTCGGCACTGACAGTAGATGCATGTCCTTGTTGTAACGCTTGTTGATCGAGTGTCGCTTGCAATTGTTTGGAATGCAGAACGCGTCGTTCGAGTTCGTGCGATAAGAACTGTATCCGGGTCGACAATTCGGCCAGTCGGGCTTCCTTTTGCTGCAACTCTTGTACGTGTCGATCTTGTTGCGATTCCAATTGTGATTGGAGCGATGTAAGTTGCTGTAGTAATTTGGCCGTTTCTTGATTGTTGGCATTGACTTTGGCGTGTGCTTCCATTTGTGCCGGTGTCGGACATCGTTTGGGGGATGGTGGTCGTACCATGAGAGGCGGTAGTTCATTCATCGCTGCTGCTGTTGTTGTGCTTGTAGTAGTAGTAGATTGATACGGTTCGTGCAAGGGTCGTGTAGTAGAAGTCGTCGTAGAGCGGTTGCCGTTTGTTGGAAGAACCAATGCATTGTTGTTGTTGTCAGTGTCATGATTGTTGTGTTTGGGTTGAATGGACCGTGTGAGAGTTTCGAGTCGCTTGGTAAGATCGGAGTATTGTTTGTTGGTTTCCTGATAGCGCAATTGTACGTGATGCGTCGAGTCTTTGAGTTTGGACTTTTGTTCGCGTTGGACCGTAAAGAGTTCATTCTTGAGTTTGCTCATTCGTAGTGAAAATTTGTCTTGTAGAAATCCCGGCAATTCCAAATTGAGATGGCGTGTGATGACATTAGTAGCATGATTGTGGGTGGTCAGAGTGCGATTGCTACCGGCATCCAATTGATCGCGGGTGCCTCCTTCAAAACTCAACAAGGCGAGTACTTCTTGACTACTACTATTGGTACTACTGCAGGTGCTCGTACCAGTCAATGCATGGTGCACGCCATTGTGTGTCGTGGGAGTCGGTGTGGTCGCTGTAGTGTCATCGGCGGGTTCTTGATGCGGCGGAGATCGACTGTGACTACTACTGGAGTTTTGATCTTCGAGTAGATTTTTGGGAAGGCCTTCACTGAGACTGAGGCTATCCGTTTCGGCGGTTCGATCGTCGTCGTTTTCGGATTGTTGACCGGATCGTTGTTGTTGTTGCTGTTGTTGTTTTTGGGTTGGCCCATGTTGAGTCGTTTGTTTCAAATGTTTCTTGAGCGATGGGAGTTGTTGTTGTTGTTGTTGTTGTTGTCCACTGTTGCTGCTACTACTCGTACTGGCTCGTGCTACAGAGGACGGTGGCGGTGGAGGACTCTGACTCGGTGGGATCCCCTCCGTGTCTAGCGCTGGTAGAGACTCGTGGAAGACATTGCTGGCCGACATGGATCGACGTCGTACGGGACGATGGCGTCCTTCCGTGGACGACAAGCCAGAGTCAGAGACACTGGTTCGATCGGAGCGGTCTTTTCGAAACGTCTCTTCTGGGGTGGGCGTGGTGTAAAAGGCGCTAGTAGTAGTACTAGCAGAGGTTGGTCCTGCCGCCAGTGTCTTTCGTTTTCGGTATCGACGCAGCAGTTGAGCCCCAATCAAAATCTGCGCCACCATGAGGACCAAGGAGGTCAGCTGAGCCGTTCTGCCCAATTGAAAGGCTCTGGTTGTTGTCGTTGTTGTAGAGGAAAGACCCGTCGTTGTTGTCGCATCTGGTGTCAACGCAACAGCACTGCTACTGCTCGTCACACCCGCAAAGTGATCCAGCAGTTCTTGTGCCTTTTGTTGTGCCTCATCACTACTACTATCATCACTATCACTACTACGCCCACCAACTAACAACTTGGCCAAGAATTCGGCATCGGCATCAATGTCCCGCATGTCGACTCCCGCTGCCTTTGCGGCACTGGCGGATGCTCGCTTGATGCATTGTTCTTGCAACGCTCCCGCGACTCCCAGATTCAAACAACTCTCCAAATCACTAATCTCCAATGGCAGTGATAGTAGTTGTTTCAAGTTGTGAACCTTTTCTTCGTACTCTTCTGGTAGAGATGTACGGAGACCTTCCAGGAGGTCCTGGCGTTGACTTTCAAACCACGTCCAGAGTGCTTGACGCGCACTCTTGCGGCCCATGGTGCGTTTTAGTTTGGGAATGGCGTCTTGTAGTTGCTGTAGGACGTTCATCTTCCACGTATTGCTATTGTTGTTGTTGTTGTCTTTACTACGATTGCTAGTATTACTCTTGCTAGTACCTGGACTCATAGTAGTGCTTCGTTTCTTCTTGCTCGTCATCGTCGTCATGGTCGAAATGCGCAATTGCGGTCACTAACTGACTACTAGACTAAACTAACCACATGACATGTGGCACTCACTCACTCACTCACTCCCATTTTTTCGTCTCCCGAAGGGTTGAGGTGTATCTCTCGTAGCGACAGTACAAACTCTACGCAAAATATAATTTCACCAAACTGCGGTCACCAAATAAATCGCAACTATTCTCTGATTGGCAGAACAATGTCACAGTTAGATACTATTCAAAGTACAACAAACTAATAAGACTACAGAGACCCTGATTATAAGATATAATATCAACTAAATGTGACCACCGAGGAGTGCCGCTAATAAAATCGTTGATCCAAGAGTGTCCAAACTGGGATGGCACCATCCAAATGGTCCGAGTGCTACCGGTACAGTGTATAACATGTATTATAGCCAGATCCACCGACGGTAACAATAATATGTCACCACCCTTGCGAGGATACGAGTAGCTTGCTAGAACAGTACTGGTAGGTAGGCTGCTGCCTAGATGCATATCGTTGCTGTACCACTACTCTGTTTGTGGTTTGTGGATGCATACCGGTATCCTAGTACCGAGCGACACAGCTGTACGGTACCTTTGTCTGGTTTTCTCTTGGTGGCAGCCAATTCCATCCTACTCTCATTGACGGCCACGGTATAATAGCTCCTCCCTACTGTACTGGCTACGCTACTAGACTATTATAATAACAGCAGAATCTCAAAACCAGGCAAGCAAACTTAAAAAGTATAGGCATGTCATCAGGCAGATGATTGGATTCGATTCAGAAGCAAGGCAAGATAGATGCATAGCTATTCCACAGAAGAAGCAAAGCAAAGCAAGAATCCAAAGGCATGATGCTGTCCATCTGACTGCTGCATGTTTCATGTTTCTGCCAGAATGAATGAATGAATGAATGAAACTACTACACCGACGGACTACTATGGTTGTCATCAGCTGTGTCATCATCTCAAGAAATAGCTAGAGACCGCTAGGCTATCAAATACTAGCCAGTAGACTAATACAACTGAGTGCGCGTCGTGCGTGCCTCGAGTTTACTTACTGTGGCGGGTGGCGGGTGCCAGCATTGTTGCACTCAATCAAAGGACCTCACTTGCTTGCTGCGTGCACAGCTAGCTAGCTAGCTACTCGAGTATGGCATAATTACCACAACAGCAGAAGAAACTCAAAGCCAGCCAACACAAAAGTATAGCTATGTCAGCTGATTTATTAGAAGGCAAGATTGATATTCCACAGAAGCAAAAAGTCCAAAGGCATTTCCATCTGGCTATAAAAGATGTTGCTTCTGCCTGAAACTAGACTGTATATACCGAGCAACGGATTAGTCGAATGTAAGGTTGCAAAAATAGAGTGTCATCTTCTTCAGATACTGTAGACCCCAGGAAGACCGCTATTGACATCGTTTCGAGTCGGAAGTGGTTAGCTCACTTACCTTCTGCGTACCGTAAACATTATTAATAATCTTAATGCTGAGGTATAAGAGCCAAAACACTGGGTTGACCGCCGGCGCTGGACCAGTGATGTCACCCCGATCTTCACCTCAACCCCTCTAATTGACCTCTCGGACATTGTAGAATGCAGTCATTTGTCAAAAAAGGCATCAACAACAATGCCAGTCCGCAGTAGCAAGAACATTCGTCATTCGAAATACAGTCAACACTCACTTAAGTTCCGTTTTTTTAAGTTCCGTTATTCTACAAAGTTCCACTTTTTCAGGGCTGCCCCCCCTCAGTCACTAGTTCTCATGACTGAACATGACTGACTGGTGAATGGGTTTTGTGGCTGTTTGAGGCTGGGCTGGCAGTTAGAAACAGTCACATTTTGCCCATTTTGGGCCCAAATCGTAGATTGAATCCACTAGATAGAGTCTTGGTGCTGACCCCACCATCCAGGAATCTCAGTTATACATATGAAAAGTTAGTTCAAGTTTCTCTTTCATGCCAGACACCCTCAGGTACGCCACAAAGCCCAAAGAGCACGTTTTACTAGCATTTGCTAGTAGTAACACAACTAGTCGACAATAGAGACACTATATGTAGAAGCGGCGTGGTTCCACCCTATGAAAGATTGGTTCCTTTTACCCCCAATAACAATAGAATATGACAGGAACCACCCCAAGTGGGTCCTAAGACCACGAACGGGCCGATATGGGGCTCCAAAGATCTAAAGTTCCGTAATTCAGCTAAGTTCCGTTTTTTTCTTAATGCTGGGGGGTGGAACTTGAGTGAGTGTTGACTGTACTTTTTAAGGAGTTGCACCCCCCACAAACACACTGCTCGGAGTACGGGAGCACTCTACAGTACTTTTTCACCGTTGCTGGTCAAATAAATATAAATATTCCGCGGCACCCAAATGGTCATAACGCATTAGTTGCGTAGCTGCTAGCTAGTACTAGCTACCAGTACCAAGTAGTGGTGCGCTTCTATTGCCACTTGGCAACTTGGCAACAAACTGAAATATCTGGGCTACTAGCTAGCTAATAACCTAGCTAGCCCCTCTAAGCTACTAAACATGAAGGCGAAAGAGAGGACTTTTGGCTTTCCCCTGTCCTGGGTACGCAGCCATACATCATACAATGATTATAACTGTGTGCGATGATGACTGACTCCTTGCTTCCTCTTGATCTCGTTTTCCCCTCTTCCAAGAACGTCCAGTCTATCACATGTATGTATTGAAGGGCCATTCTGCATTGCATGTCTTTTACAATACTCTGTTCCGAGTTCCGAGCAGCCAAGCCCAGGGCAAGGTTTTTGCCGCCACACAGATAGAGCCAAGCGCTGGCTGGTAGGATTCCATTGAGATGGCCCGATAAAAGATGCTGCATGCAGGCGCTGGGGAAGCCAAATGTTGAAACCATCTGTTCCGAGGTTGCTTTCAACCTTGGTTGGGTATTCCTTATTCCTTGTACTTTTTGGAGAGGGGGAATTATTGAAGGAATGGAGGAATTCCCCAATTCCTCGAAGGAGCAGGAATTTGACTGACCAGTCATGAGCGTGACTGTGAGTCATGAATCAGTACTGTTGTACACAAGCCTACGTAGAGTCCCTAGTGTGACTGGCAGTTAATTCCTTTCCCCCATTCCCTTTCCCTTTAATGCTTCCTTCAGACACTGGAGGAATAGTGGAGGAATTCCCGGAGTCGGGGAATTCCTCCAAGGAGTATACAACTAAGCTTTCAACCTGCATCCACAAGGAAGTTTGTAAGTTAGTTTGTGTTGGTTACCAGTTGACTGTTGCACCTGGTGCTGTTGCCTCTTACGTGTGAAACTGCCCTCTTTTGCTTCTGGAGTCTTTTACTTTAAAAATTTTAGGCCATCTGTCCTCCCACTATTGAACGGAAAGAGACGTCCATTTCGGAAACCAGGCTTTTGCCTCACTCATGACGTATCTGGGAACAATTAAAGCAAAGTTGTAAATAAATGAGAAGTCTCATCGAACTCCTCAGATAATTGGGGAGACTGGCAGAAATAATGAAAATGACTTTGGACGAACGCTAGAATAGTCCAATTTGGGGGCGGACAGAAAAAGGGGGTGGGGATGTCACGCAGGGCAAGCCCTTAGTGCACCTGCCTTCCGTTGAAACGGGGTTGTGCCTCGACGAATTGGTCGACACCTGCTGTTGGGATGGATCCTTTCGGAAAACGAACATCACATCAAACGAGAATGAGCAAGGAGATGTTGTCTTTTCTGCTCTCTCTCTAGCTAGCTAGCGTACAGTAGCTTCAGCCTAAGGATTGGATGAACAAGACAAGGTCGCCCATGGTATCAAGAGGCAACAGCACACTGAGGATCTTAGCTGGGGAGGTCAAGAAACGGGAGCTGACGGGTACTGTTTGGTGGCAGTAGCGTTGGTACTGAATTCTGCGTAGAGCTCTACCTGTTGTCACCCAACCAAGCCAAGTCAAGATGGTCCGAGACCAAGCCAAGAGAGCGTTGTCGAATGTGGCATGTGAGTGTCAACGTCGAGCCAAGAGAGCCAGAATCACACTCCGCAAAAGGTTAAGAGACCTCGAAGAAATGGAAGAACTCTACGTACGGCCAACGGTGCGGGACCTGAAGGAACGGTTTTTGGGGAGTGTTCGGTCGGGATGGGAACATGCCATTGCAACCGATGAACCGGATTTTGTAGTCACCAATTTGCCACTAATCCTGTCCATGCCACTGCATCATCAGGATTGTTTGGGGAGTAGTTTGGCTTTGGAAGTCATGGTCAAGGCCGAAGGCTATCCTGGACGAACGTTGACACCAGAACAACCTCAAAATGAAGAAGAAATCATTGTTGAATACTTGCACGAAGAATTTGGGACTGTGGGGGGAAATGCCAGCAACCAAACTGAAGCCATGCTTCGGAATCAGAGTCTCAATGGTAGTAATGGGGACTCTTCTTTGGGCAAAACAGCTTCTAGCACGCGTAGGATACGCTTGGCCCGCATGGAAACATCCAACACAGCGGGGAAACCGCCATGGGTTGACAAGTTTGAGCGGTTTCAACAGATACTACAAGACAATGTGGACCTTTTCAGGGTCCAACAGATTCAAGTAAGCAAGCCAGAACTTGACCGGGTACAGCAGTTCCTCGTTGAAAAACTAGAAGTTGAACGCTGGCACCAGGTGGTCAAAGACAAGTCGCGGGAGATCCAGGGAAACCTGGCCAAACTTCAAGGAGTGATACGGAAAACTTTTTTGCAAGATGACTCCGTTTCACATCATGCTTCGACCAATTCTTCCCACGTTCTAGAAGACTTTAACAGCACCAGCACACTGGGAGAGAATGCACCACCAAGACACGATATTGATTGGACCAACCAGACTGTCAATTCCAGGACCCCTACCCTGATACGGCATGATTCACTGACGCTTCAAGAACCGTGGATGAAACCAACAGTTTTGATGAGCAACCAGGGGTATCTTTTTCTGCATTGGGTCGAACGGACGAGCGCGATTCTCGTCGTTGCAGTCTTTCTTCACGCCGTTTGGTTGATTCTACGGAAACCCAGGCATCGAAAGAGGCTTTTGCGCCTTCTTTTGGACCAAGACAAGAAAAGCCCATCTTCGCCGACCTATTCGCTCACCAATGAGCTTGTCGAAATGAAGATGAACGGGGGAGATTGCCCAGAATCACCTCTCCTGCCAGAAACTGTGATTTCGACTTCCTCGACCAACAGCCCTGCGATAGAGCTGAGGCTGCGAGATTTGGGTGCATCTGCTGCCATTGTGAATGGACAGAATAACAATTGGAAACACATGGACGAACTGTACAGACGCAAAGAAAACGAGTGCTTGGCACTGGAACGCAAGGTGCAGGAAATCACAGACGAGTTGACACGCCTCCAGTTGGAGCAGCCCAAGCTGGACTCGATGAAACAAACGGAGACGCAAATGATCAAAATACAGAAACTCAACAGCGATCTGCAAGAGCTCATTGAGGGCAAGGACCTGCAACTTCTCAATTTTTCCACCCAAGTCCAGCAACTAAACAAAGACTTAGCGGCGCGGGAATCCCAATTGAGCAATATTCTCAATCTTTATTCGGATCAGAAAGAAGAACTAGAAAAGCAAAAGGAGGAGGCCGCACGCAGGCACAATCATGCGATGGAGTACAATTCGTCGAAGCTCCAGGAAATGAATGAACAGCTGAAGGAATCCAACGAACACGGTGAATCTCTCACGGAAAGACTGGCGGAAGTGTCCGATGAGCTGGCTGAGCAACGAGAAAAAGAATCGATGCTACGGCGGCAATTAGACGCGCAAAGCAGCCGGGCCCGAGAGCTAGAGATTAAATCTGTCGAACAAGAAGATGCAGAAAAGGAGTTGAAAGGTCGCTTGGATGACCAAGCCAGTCGATGCCGTGATCTGTCTGGTGAGCTTCGGCAACAAGTGAAATCGCAACGAATTCTACAGGAGCAACTAGACGATCAAATTAAAAGGGCCAGGAAACTAGAGGACCAGCTCCAACATCGCGCGGTAGCAGAAAGCAAGTTTCAGGAGCAATTGGGTAGTCAAGTAAGCCGGTCGCGCCAACTGGAGGAGCAGCTACAGCAACACAGTATCGAACAGCGCAACCTGCAGCAGAAGGCAGACAATCAGATGAAAAAATGTAAGACTCTCGAGGAGCAGCTTGAACAAGAACGAGAGGTCCGCGGCGAATTAGAGAAACAGCTTGCTCGACACGCACTGGAGCTGGAAAAGAGTCGCCAACTAAATGCCCACCAGACCGTGGAACTGAAGCAAAGTCGGCTAGAAATAACTCGCCAGACGCAGGAGCTGGAAAAGAATCAGCAGGAGCTTGTCTCCCTCTGCAGTTCTGAGAATGATGCACTCACCGACAGCAGCGCTGCAGACTCTGTCAGCGAGTTGCAAAGGCTCCAAAACGAGCATATGCAATTGAAATCGAGTCTGCTGGACCATGCGGATAAGTGTGATTTGCTCCATAAACAGGTTGAACAGCAAAAGAAGCTTCAAGCAAAACAGCAAGACCGGAACAAAATCCTTCTGGAAACTAATCAGACGCTCACAGAAATGATCGACGAGCGACAGAAACGATGTGGCGAGCTGGAGAAGACAGTAGAGGAATTGTCTCGGCAACTATCGAAATACCAGAAACGACAAGGCGACGAGGCCAGCAAGTTGGAAGAGCTACGTACACTTCGCCGCGAAAAGCAAGAAATAGCGCAAACATTGCTCACAACTCAAAGGCGGCACTCTCAGGAGGGGCAGTTGACAGCCGCTAAGCTGGCAATCGATCTAGAGCAGCAACAGGACCTTGTCGCAAGTCTGAAGACTGAACTGGAGTCCGCGGAGAAGCGGTGTAGTCAGCGAATGATGGAAATGCAACGACGGCACGAGGAAGAACAGAAGGAAAAGGAAGCTGAGTTTCGACGGAAGGAGAAGGACTTGAAGCAATTACTCGAGGTGCAAGATGAACAAACCAAAGGACTGTTGTTGCAGCGGGAAGATTCATCTTCGTCAATCGTAACGGACGTTGTTGTTGAAACGCACCCAGAAGACCCTTTGCTTGGCTCCGGCGGCCAACAGAAGACCGCTGTCGAGCCTTCGACAAAGGAGGGTAGCAATGACGGTCCCGATCTCGATGATCTGCTTTCAAGCGAAGTGTCATTTCTTCTAGGTCTACAAAGGCCGCGAGCTCGCTAGCAGAGATGGGGACGTTGTCCATTGTTGGATAAGTTGGGTTGTGAAAAATGTGTTGTATGTACCTGTGCATTGGGGTGATTCGATTCCTATCATGTTGTCGTCGGCGGAAGACGGGAGGGCGATGGACACGACAGGGTTGGGTCCTGATCGAAGCTAGCTAGAGTAATGAACCGAGTATAAGTTGTGATATGTGTTCAACCGGTTCATTTGTGCGGGAATGTGCCGTCATGGTGCCGTAAATGTGAACATCAAACTCCAACGCGAAATCATGGGGAAAACTATCAATGCAAAGAATCTTCCATCTGCTCCTGTTGTCCCAACCTAGCTGAGCTACGTCGTAATAGCATGCTTCTGACACCATCCACATGTAGAGGTATCGCCTTCCGTACAGACCTTTAGAAAACACTGAGTCGAGTCTTACCCCTCATCTTTATGAAACCACGACCAGCCGTCGCGCAACTGGAGCTCATTTTTAGCCTTTTTACTGTAGGTGCCACCTTGTACGGAGCGATAACAAGGCTAGTAGCAGAAGGTACCAAAACGCGAATTTCACAACAAAAGAAACGATGCAATGGCGGCAGCAACCGGCTTCGATACATGCAGTACCACTTCGTCTTCATTGTTATCGACTATGGACCTCAGTCAGCCAAACCAAATAACTCTGCAGCCAGGGTCCTGGATCCAAAGAAGCAAGCCCACAACGATAAAGAAGACACAGAGCCATGATGGTAGTGGTCAACAACAACAAACGAGCAACTCCTATGATGCATTTGGAAGTATTGGCAAGAAGAAAGGGGAGCAAGAGAAGAAAGAGATGGAGGTTGTGATTGGAAAGCAGCATCCAACCACATTTCCCAAAAGCTCTCAACCAAATCACTCCTCACCCGAGGCCCTTGATGATGTTATCAGTAGCATCCAGTCACTACCAACATTATCTCCGCCAGCCATGTATCGAGCAATAAGGTTGCCTGTAGGGGTACCAGGTGCATATGCTGTGGAGGGGATTGGGCCAACGCTTTGTCACCCAACAAGTAGGCCAGCTGACATGGAAGAGCTGGGATTGGAGTTGGTGCCTGCATCCCAAGATGACAGAGATCATGATACTGGTCTTATTCATGCAGCTCCAATTGAAGAGCCAGAATATGGGATGATTCCAACAGCAGAGCCAATAACAAAAAGGGCCAAAAGATTATGGAAGAAGAAATTATGCTTATTCCTCTCCCTGGAAACAATGTTTGCCCAAGCACTTGTTGTAATTATTCTTGTGGCATTTCTTCTTGCTCCAAAATCAAGCAATCAAACTCAACCCACAAAGCAGCAAAATGGAGTGATTCCAATACAAGAAAATCCAGGGACAATAGCTTCAATCACACAAGCACCAATATCGCTATGGGAAAGACTAAATCTCCCTGACTACACCCTCAGGGCAATGGAGAATCCTAGATCGCCGCAGACCAAGGCATATCAATGGCTAAGCAACAATGTCAAGACCAACAATACACAACATCTCCCGGTATGGAGACTAAAGCAAAGGTTTGCACTCGCAACATTTTATTATTCAACACGGGGGGACTATTGGGTGAAAAATCAAGGCTGGTTGGATTGGTACACCAATGAGTGCAACTGGGAACAAATTGATGAGGATTGGGCCCCAAACCCACCTGCTCGTTGTGCTAACAATGGGCAACTCCTTTCATTGCAATTTATGTATGCCAACAACTTGGATGGAACGATGCCGCCAGAAATATCCCTGCTCCATGAAAGCTTGGAAGCAATTTTATTATCTTGGAACCTCCAGCTCAAAGGAAATATACCAACAGAGGTTGGGCTTATGACAAGGCTGACGAGCTTTTTGTTAAGCACGACACTCTTGTCTGGCACACTCCCAGCAGAAATAGGTCAGCTACGAAGCTTGAAGAATTTATCGATCTCACACAGCAAGATTGGCGGGACTTTACCTACTGAGTTGGGCAACCTAAGCAACCTAACAGCTCTGGGAACTGAAGGAGCAAACTTTTCTGGTATGCATGGGAGCGGACAAAAGCATTGCAGAAATATCACAGTTTGACTTATTGACTCACTTGACATTTTCTGCCTACACAGGGTCAATCCCCACTGAGATTCTTCGATTGTCAAACCTGAAGACCTTGAGTTTCTTAAAGTGCCCTCTATTGGATATAACATCTTTCCTCCCTGGAGTAGTTGGAAACCTGCACAATTTGAAGATACTAGGACTAGGCTCTGGGAAACCTGGGGGGTTCACATCAATCCCATGTAAGTGCCATTAGTACTTTTCTCTTTCTCTGTCTTCCGGTTGCTGAACAGTTTTTTAATTATGTTTTGAAAAGCTGAAATTGGGAAGCTGACCAACATGCGAGTCATTGGATTCACTGACTTCCAAGTCAATGGCACGATTCCAAGTGAGATGGGATTGTTGACAAAGCTAGTAAGTTATCATGAACGAAGCTTGTGTGGTATTGGTTCCTCTATATGTACTAAGGGAATTGTGTCACTTCTTTGCAGAACAACTTGAACTTGCAAAGTAACTCAATCTCAGGCACTTTACCAGAAGAGTTATCAAAGATGTCGCGTGAGTGCTATACACCTCTTCTTAGCTTTGGAGTCCATCTATGCTCAAATCTGCATTTTGTTTGTTTCAACATCAGAATTAGAGGTCTTACGAATCCAATCCAACAAGTTGGAGGGAAAGATCTTAGAACAAGGAGTCCTCCACCACCTCAACAAGTTGCGGCTTTTGCAAATAAGTGACAACCTATTCTCTGGCTCTATTGCAACAGAAATTGGCTTGTGGTCTAGCCTTAAGAAGCTTGAACTGCAAAACACGCATATATCCGGCACTCTTCCCAGTGAATTGCTTTTGTTGGACAACTTTACCAGCCTGGTAGTCATGAACACATCCTTGACAGGCAGTATCCCTCATGGACTGTGCAACAAGGTACTCCTTCCACAGGAAAACAAGTGTTTTGGGGGCAGATGCTATGGAGTTGCAACCTCTAACCTGTCAGCTTGCCACGGAGCTCAACTGTGTGGGTGTAGTTGTACTCCTTGCCCAATAACCTAGCTAGAACAGAATCTGGGAGCAGTGATGACATCGGTACAAGCTAGGAGCAGCTACGGTTCTACCAAAAACTAGTTACTAGTTTGTTCTGTGAGTCTCTTCCGCATGCAAACTCTTCTCGCATGTGGCTGTCCGCTACCAAGGACTGCCACTAGCAAACTCATCTCTAGCTAATTTGAATCACCATTGGCTGCAACTACTGCAGCTATTAGAGTGGACAGAAGTTCGCAATAGTAGATTGCAGCAGCAAATGGGTTGCGGGCCCACCTATACCATTCGAGAGTTTCGGCAGTGATGAGAGTTGATTGCATAGGTGGAGCACCCCAAGGCTACCAGTACACTGCTGCTGCCATAGACTACATCAGCTAGCAAGCAAGAGATCAGTCATTTAGGTATGCGAAGTCTTTTCTATTTGGTTTCATTATCAATATATGCATTCTTCTAGTTTCCCTACAAACCTGTGGCTGGTTGGCATCTTTGTTTTCTTGCTTGTTCCTTTTGCTGTTGCTCCTACTCACACTAAACTACTGTCAGCCGTGCTTAGGGCTTCTTCAAGTCTTGGGCCTGGGCCACAGCTGACAACATAGCTGGCAAGAACCTGTTCTGCATGATCATTGTGGATGCCATGGAGAAGGATGCTCTTGATGGCTGCCCTTTGACGGGGGAAGATGTGCAGAGCTCCATGGGTGTCACGAATGCATCCATAAAGCTTCGTCGATGAAGGGTGTTTGCTTTCTTTGCCTTTTCGTCTTCCTCAAAGCGGACCGATTTGGGTGGTGGGGAGGCCGATCGAATGCTGGGTGGGATGCTCTCCTTGGTGTTGAACCGCAACTTTTCTTCCAAGTATCGCTTGTCGGATTGCCAACTGGTCATCTCTGCTCGGTGCTTGGCTTCGAGCTGACGAATCATGTCACGGTACAGCTTGGACTCTTTTCGTTGAGTGATGTGTTCGCGCTTCTTGGTAAGAGTGGACTCGACCAGTTGCTTCGACAAGAGTTCCGTGATGGTGGACAAGTTGGCACACTTGGTCTTGAGGGCCGTCAAGTCTTCATCGGATGAGGACGAATTGGCAAGGACCAGAGCATCACAGGTAGACGCCTCTTGTGTTTGTTCCGCCGCTGGTGCAGGCCACGAAAAGCTCACAATCTCCAAGCTTAGCTTGGGGGGAAGGGGGCGTTGGAGGGTGGCGGGCTCTGGGCGTTCGTTGTAGCGGTCGGCGATCTCCGCGATGGCTTCCCGAGTAAGAGGACGCCAGAGTGGGGTTGGTTCGGGGGGACCGTAGGCAGTAATCTCCGCCGTGAGTTCTTCCGAAAGAGGATGTTGCATGGCGGCGGGTTCGTGACGCTGGTTGTAGTGGTTGGCAATCTCGTTCTGTAACTCTAGCGGAAGCACCTTGGCATCAATCAATGGCACGTCGATGTATTCCTCCTCTGGGCTTGGCATTGGTTGACTGCCAATGGCATACATCACACTGAGCGAAAGAATGGTCGTGACCGTCTCCTTGCAGGCTGCGACATCGACCTTCGCTTCAGGCTTGCACTCTTCCGTAACGGGCAGTTGACTATCGACGTCAACCTCCATTTCCTCATCACTGTCGACATCGGAAATACCAGTGGAAGATCCAGAAGAGGATGTCGCGACTTCGTGGTGGGAATCATGGGACATGATGGTCGGATCGGAAAGCTGAAGCAATTCGGGCGGTGTGGCATCATGGTCGTCCTTCGCGTGCGCGTAGTCGTGACTTTCATGAGTGCCATGGTCGTGATGATGGTGAAGATGAAAGTGAAAAGGCTTGAAGACGGATGCAACTTTCTTCTTCAGGGCCCGTCGCCTCTCGCGCTTGGCAATGAAGTCGTCGACGTCCACACTCTTGGGGCGGTGCCCGAGCCTCATTGTGTGTGGGAACATTGTCATTGTTCTTCTTGTGATTGATTGATTGATTGATTGATTGGCTTGTTGATACCGTGTGGTATTGGCGATTGGTTCTGGATATGGTCAATGTGCTTTTGCTGGTCAATCCGATTGTGAGCTTTTGCTGGTTGGTCGGCATCGGCCATGGCGCAAGTTGCAGCTTTTGATCCGCTTCGCAATTGGTACCAACCCGCATGCCAATGCGAACAAAATGAAGGGATGAGAACTTGCAAAAGGTCCCCCGGTGCGCCATTTTCCCAGAAAAATGAACTAAAAAGCAAACATTAGGTTAGATTTCCATAGATTATTGAAATTTCACAGTTCTAGCGTAACCTGGCGACCCAACTCCCACAGTATTCCCATTGCCACCATTCCCAGGTTCATTTCCACCATCGATGCTCACCATCAAATGGGAACGCCGCCAAAATGCACCATATTTTGAGGAAGCAAGAGGCGAAGAATATCGCCTCAACTGATGGTCCTGGAGATGGTGCTGTCAAGTCAAGACGATCTCGCACTCCCCTTCGCATGATGCTGGTGCAGCACTTTGACAGATTGCTGGCCATCAACAAGTAGGGAGTGCAAGCAGCTGCTTCTCGTTTGGCACTAGCCAAACGTACCGGTACCCACCGGTAGCCAGATACTAGTATTATTAATACGTACAGTCGTAGTCTTGATTGATGGCAGGTCAGAGACCGGCATGAACATTCATGAGATTGCAGCTGTTCTGACTTAATATGATAAAAAAGCCGGTGAGGTTGGCGAAGAGAGTTTGATTTCAAGTGGCCTTTTGAAGGGACCGTACTTGTACAATGTAAGAAATAGCCAGCTCTTGGAAATCTCTGGCTACCAGTACGGTAGCTCTTGAATCGTCTGGCTAAGCTAGCTAGCTGGCATACTGTATTGTATGTACCGTCCTTGGAAATTTTCACCTTTGGCCAATTGGGAGATGGATGTTGACGAAGTTTTTGACGATCCGTCGGAGCTATTTCAACCTGGGCTTTTCATGATTTTAACCCTACCGGTTTCTAACTAACCCACTTCACTGGCTTAAGATCTTTTACATTCAAGTTGCAGACGCACCGGTACCGGTACGTCGTACCAATCGTACAGTAGCAACTTTCAGCCCCGTCCTGCGGTACTGGTACCGGTGGGTACACACCATGCCCGCAGAAAATTGCCATTGCGCTTGGCCTTTGACTTGGAGGCTGGGTTTTGAGCTACTTTACCACTTGCTTACTGCTCGAGTAGGCTGGCTAGCTAGTAGCTAGTAGTAGCTAGAACTAGTTAAAAGTCAAGAAGCAGCCTTGCCAGCTAGCTACCAAGCAGAAAGGCATCCTCAGCCCGAGTTTTGAGCAGCTGAAAGAATCGAATCGAAATCTACTACCAGGTAATATCCAGCCATCGCACCCAAAGAAGAAGTTCTTCTCTTGGCACCTCCCAGATGGTCACGATCGATCGAGCTACTATCTAGCTAGCTAGCCGGCAAGATACTACTGGAGTACTCTGGAGCTCGACTCGACTCGACTTTGGAGTAGAAGATTGGGGATGAATGATCGGGATTGTTTGCTTCTTCTCCCAAGCAAGCAGCCAAACCATGGACACACTCTGCCGCAGCAGCTAATAGTGGTCTACCGGCAGTAGTGCTAGCAAGCTTTCAAGACAAAAAGGAAGGCTCATTCTTCGTCCCTATTGCCCCTATTAGGAAAGATACCATTACCGTGCGCTGAGTTGGCATACATCATTGTCTTTTTGTTTAGCAAATGAGATGTTACATCGCCTCTTCTCAAGCTGTCAGGTGGCCACCTAAGCGCAAAAAGATACTCCTTTCGCAATTTCACCGAAAGAGGTGCAGCACGGAAAAAATGAGAGGATACCCTTTTTCTTGGAAATAGGAAAAATATAATAACAAAAGGCATTATACAGCTGCCCCTGATCAAGCAGTGCACCTGTGTTTCTTGGTACCACTGGTCAGTCCTCGTGTTGTAGTTTGTTCGGCGTGGGAAACTGTAGTGCCATCCGTTTCTTTCTTTTGACCGTTGTTATGAAACCATGGGGTATACGTGGCCAAAAAAAAGAGGAAGCTCGGAAGATCAAAATATAGTGAAAGGCGACCTTTGACTACATGCCGACAGTGGTATCAAAAATGCAATGCAACCGGACCGTTTGAATTATCCCTTACAGCTTTCTAGCTAGCTAGCTAGCAACCATTATTTATCTCTCGTCTTTTGGTCTCTCTGGTCTCACTCTTCCATCTCCTGCCCGCCTGATAGAGGCGAGAGGAACAACTCAAGAGGGAGGAAGGAAAGGGAAGCAAGACCTGCAGTTGCTCGTATTGCCCTTGTTGTTGGTTCAGACTGCCTTGTCTTTTTGCAAACCGTTGGATTGACAACAACAAAAAGTCTGAGAGTGTGAAACTGCTTTGCCGTACCTTTCCTTCCTCTCGACTATTTATTTGAACTGACTGACACTATTAGACTACAAGACCAACCATGGCCTTACCAATGCCGTTGGCGGCACGGGCCGCTGTTTCAAGCAGTGCCAGTAGTTTGGTGGGAGAGAGGGCGTCGTCTGACTCCAAGAACTTACCGTTGGTTCTGCCCGTGGCTCTGCCGTTATCACAAGTGTGCGAAAGATCTTGGCAGCCGGGCCAGTTCTTGGCCAAACAAGCTGTGCTGGAATGGAGGAGCACAAGACAACCAAGAAGAGTTCAAGCCAATCAAGATCAGAAGGATGCTGAAGATGAGGCTTGCTCTTCAGCACATAAGGAATGGTCGGTTAAGATGACAGTCCCCTTCTCAGAGCCACCAATGGATCATCACCTGACCGCCAATGCTACGAGAACCAGCTCTGTTGTGATGCAGAGGACCAACCATACCACTACCATGGCTCATGCTCATCATCAGGACGTTGTACCGTTGGTCATGCGGTCACAAGCTGTGACTAACACCACGGAAGCTTCCCTGGCCACCACACTCCATGACCTGTGGCTGCAACCAGAAGGGGGATTGTTGCTGTGCGTCTTGTTGGGAGTCATCTTCCTCTTGGGATTGGCGGGAATGGCCGGTTTGCTGAGACGACGACGCGTCTCTCGAGCCTGTCGAGAATTGGAAGAGTTTCGAGCATTCAAGCGGGAGCTCATGATGACCAACAACGCTAACAGCCATATGGCATCGTCGTCAACGACATCCAGTGTCTCGTCCTGCTCGTCACATCATCATCATCATCATTTGTATAACAGTCGGTCCGATGTCGTCACACGAAGGGCCGCACGAAACGCCGTAAGACCAACACAAGCGTGGACGGGAAGCATCACGTATACATCCAGCAGGAGCCAAAGTGAAGACACGACCGTGTCGACAGTGGCACGGTCGTTGGGACTGTCGCCCACCAATAATAGCGACCGTCAACCCAGAGTATTGCAGCGCTTTTCCTTGACCAGTTTTGATCACCGAATGATGCAAGGAGCTTCCGATGAAGAGTATGAAGAAGAACAAGAAGAACCCAGACCTCTGTTTGACCTTACCAAGCCCTCTGTCGCTGCAGCATCGTCCTCGTCGTCGACATCGTCGTCCACAGAGTCACCAGGAGGAGTGGCGGTGAAAACGACTTCACTGGTCAGTCCGCCGGTGGTTGGGTCGCTCTTTGCCGGGATTGCCGCCTCCACGGATACAAATAATAATGGTGTGTTCCGAACCGTCAAGGATGGGTCGGTTCAAAAGCTCATTGTGGATTTGCCCCCCGTCATTGGAGAAGAAGCCACGAGGGATTCGCTATCCATGTCATCGGACCATGACGATGATGACGAGGCATGGTTTGCGGATGCCATGGATGACGAATCGTTTCACTCCGTGTTCATGCCACCGGGATCCACAGCGGATGCCGTGCTTCTTTCCGTGCAATCGGATCTGTCAGATTATGAAGGTGATGGTGACATGTTTGACGAATACGAAGATTGCAGCTACGAGCAGGACGACGATGAAGATGGTTCTTCTTCTACATCGAGTAGTGGCGAGTCTGACTCGGACTCTGACGAACAGAGTAGAGAGTCTTCCACGTTGCAAGTCTTCTGGGCACGACCCAGTAACTTTTCGCTCCCACCACCATACCAAGAAGTTGTGGCCGTCAAGAGTCTTGGAGAACTTGCGATCGTCAAGAGCCCGCCGTCATCACCATTGGGATCTGCGCGAAAGATGGTCGATGGCGTCCTGTTGTCTCCGGATCAACAAGTGGCAGTCGTGAATCGATCCTTTTCGCCACGCCAAGACGGTACTCCCAACATTGTGCAGTTTGCAGTAGATGTTACCCCGCCTTTGTCACTACCAAGGAAGAATTCACGCGGATCTCTCTGTTCCATGGCATCCTTGGCATCAGTGGTTACCAACTGCGAAGTGGAGGTAGACGGCGAAGGTATGGTTGTTGCGACATCACCACGCAAACTCGCCAGACGGTCCAGTCAGAGGTTGTCCATGTCGTCGTCGCATAACGATCTCAGCGCATCTTTTCATCAGACTGTCGAGACACTGCTTCAGTCACTCATGCTCTCTGATTCGGAAGATGATGATACAGAAGCCGGTGACAACGACAGTGATGATGAGAGTCTTGACGGAGTTGGTCATTTTGGATACGATATGGCAATGGGTGGCAGTGGCCACGGCTTGGGGCTGGGTGATGAAGATGATCAGCAGATTGTGTTGGGAGAACGACGAAATCATGAAGAGCATCAAGTACCAACCCAGCCGGTTTCCGATTGGAGGTCTGCAATTGTACCCGCGGACAAACTGGAACCACCAAGGCGACGACAACAGAAACGAGGTAGTAGTCGACGCCGTTTGTCCATTGAGGAGTCTAGCGCCACCCATGGATTGGTGCCGGCATCGCCCATGCATCAAGATCGACGGTTGTCTTCCTCCGAGTCTTCGTTGGTGGCCACAATGATCTCTCAAGCGCTCTCTCCCGCTTTCAAAACGCCTGATCAACGGTCCAAGCGTCGAGTCTCCCGTCATGAACAACCAAAGTCCTCATCGGAACGTCGGTTGTCGCTGCCTACTGATACTGCCTTGGTGTCTAAGCAGCGACGAGTTTCCTTCCACCCAGATGAGCAGCATCACTTTGAGGAAGATGCAATGGTCGTCAGGCGATTATTTGTTGAAGGAGACCAGGAAGGCGAAGGAGATGTTGATTCGCCGCCTGGAACTCCGCCCGAAGCTTACATGAATGAGTCAAGCACACCAGACAAGAAGTCTAAGCTCAACAAAAGGACGTCTCCAACGAGTGTTCGAGCGTTGCTGCTGGAGGATGGTGTCAGTCAAGTCGAATGTTCTGACGCGCCCGTACAAAATGTGTTTGTGGGCGAGATGAACGGAGTACCAGAGGGACGAATGGACAGCTTGGAGGACTCTCTCCATGGCGATTCATTGAGGAGCCAGTCGCTTAGAAGACGATCATCAAGGTTTTCAGCAAGGTTCTCCGCTTTGTTCTCGGCGTCGATGTCCACTCTCAAAACGGACACTGATATGAATGGTTACTCTCAGTCTTTGCTGGATCTGAACGAGGACGAAGAGTTCGTTCATGATGCGGTTGGCAACGAAAAAGAGTCCGGAAGACCGGTGATTGCCAATATCGACATGGTGGAGCGACACTGCACAAGCGATAGTCACAGACGAAAGCTGAAGAATGCACGCCTTGTGGTTAGAGTCGTACTTGGTGCCCATCGCAAGGACTACAAGACGTCTAAGGCTTGTTTTCAAGCTATTGATACTGTCACGGCTTTTCGCAAGGAAATATACCAAGCGGTGCTTGAAATGTCCAAAGGTGGGCAAGTTTTGGCTGACCTGAGGTCATGTTGGCAACAGCTCTGGCGACAAGGGGATAGTGGTGCCGCGGTCTTTCCGGCCTTGCCAAAAGACCCAAGGACTGTGGATAACTATGAGTACTCCATGCTATTGCTCCGAAAGATCTACACGATGCTGTATCCAGAAGCAACTCCCGCGAGCAAACCCAACACATACCCCTCGCACAGCGGGGAGCTCATGAGCTCGCATGGGCCAGAGGAGAACATGACTCTGTTCCTGGGTTCGATCGGGGGACTGCCCGTCTCGTTGTCACTAAGTTCTTTCGACACAGACAGGACCAAGAGAACCAGATTGACGCCCTACAAGAGCGACGAACGATATCCCTTATCGCTGCAAGATGCCATGCGGGTTGTGCGTGCTGTTTTGGGTCCCTCTCACAAGCGAGTCTCTGGCCAGGACTGCTTACGGGCAATCCAAATGTATGGTCTCTTGAAGATCCAGTTTAAGCGCCTGTCGCAACAACTAGAGGAGCAGAGAGCATTTGTTGCTGAGCTGAACTCAGAGCTCGAGCAAGTGGTGCAAGATTTGCACAAAGTGACGTCCCGAGGAGACAACGACAATCAGTATGTACCGAACTTGATCTCTCACATTGGCAAGAGGCTCCCCCCGCAGGACACAATGGACGCCCAGGAGTCGTCTATTGTGGCGCATTCTGATCGGATTCATCAGCTCTTGTGCGATGAGGATAACTAAACGGTAAGTCTGCAATTCAAGTCTGACTTGACGTACGGGTGGCCAACGGATTGTTCACTCACAACCTGTCCGCTTTCCTGAACAGGAAGAATTTGCATAGAGATGGGGAAACCGGTCATATGTGACTACCCCAGTGATGTTACACCGGCAGCAAGATTGCTGTTGGCGAAATGGGGAAAATGGTCAATTGTGACTACCCCAGTGACGTTACACTTGATGTTACACCGACAGGAAGAATGCTGAAATGGGGAAAACGGTCACTTGTGACTACCCCAGTGATGTCACACCCGATGTTACACCGACAGAGCACCTCGTGCCAGGCCGTTTGTCAAATTGGACGCTCGACCGCATCGTTTACTATCCCTTTGAAGAGGCTGAGTAGTTTCGAGCAATTTCAACCGTTTGCAACTTGGACTTTCACACCGCCGATGCATGGCTGCAACTTTTCTACCTGCCATTACCAAACTATTTCATTCATTCAGTCTACACAGCACACTATATTCTGGGACTGCGTTGCTACCAGGAGCCACACGTCGAACAAGAATGACATGGCTCGCAGTCCCTCCCTTGGCTATCATATACCTTGCCTTCTTTAAACCTTTTGCTATAGCCAGCTGTAACATTAATACAATTCATTTGAGAGTTACTTCTCCAACACGAATAGAACCACTTGGTGGCACGTTTCCTTCCTTTCAAGGCATGAGTACTGAGTCAATCACATGGATAATTCCATTGGAGGTCCCAATGTCCGCGACAATCACATTGGCACCGTTGATCATGGCTCCGTCGTCATCCAGACTGACAGTGACAGTGCTCCCCTCGAGAGTGGTAACTTCAGCACCATCCATCAAATCGCTGGACCGAATGATCCCAGGGGCGACGTGAAAAGTGAGAATCTGGGCTAGTGTGTCCATATCTGTGTCTTCTTTGAATTTAACCAACTCTTCTCCTTGAGGGAAAGCGACGTCGTTGGGGGCAAACACGGTAAATGGACCGGTCCCAGAGAGTGTTTCGACCAGTCCAGCAGTTGCAATCAAGTCGACCAATGTGGTAAAGCCACCATCAGCAATCGCAGTCTGGACAATATCTAGCTCGGGAGGAGGTGGAGGAATCAGCACAGCATCGATGACGTGAATAATCCCATTGTCCGCCTCAATGTCCGTCATGACAATGTTGGCATCGTTCACTTTGGTTCCGTTGGTCAAAGAAATGGTGACAACGCTGCCTTCCACAGTTTCTAGAGTAGCCCCATCAAACATAGCTGCAGCGGGGACTCTACCGGGCACAACGTGGTATGTCAAGATGGATATGAGTGTGTCCAGATCAGTGCTGTTCTTGAATGATTCCAACTCAACTCCGCTCGGGAAGGCAGCGTCAAGAGGGGCAAAAACGGTAAATCTAAGTATAGACGACGAAGACATGTCAGTATGGTAACGCATGATGGTGTAAGATTCAGTCAAAGGCAAGATACTTACGGGCCAGGGCTTTTCAAAGTATCGACAAGTCCAGCAGTAGCAACCAAGTCAACCAAGGTGTTGAAGTCATTATCAGCAATTGCAATATCAACGATGTCTCCGACAAAAGCCGCCGTGGGAGCTTCGGCAGCCGCACTGACAGGAGGAGGAACCGGGTTAGGAGGTGGTGCGGTCAAGCTGTTGCAGACACAAGGCAGAAAACTTGATTCACTTCCTGTTGAATCACAGATAAAGTAGGCCGATCCTATGCGGCAGCAACCACCAGGGCACCCATTGACGGGGTCTGCCAGGCACTCGGTACTGCCCAGCTCGCCTTGTCCCGCGGCAGCAATGAAGTCCTTGGCTCTGGCAACGTTTGGCTCGCACCCATTCGTCTCCACAATGACGAAATCTCCATCTTCATCAAGACGACGTCTTCCTTGAGATGCATCAGAGGCCACAGATGCACGAAGGTTCTTGGTTCCAGCTGCGTCAACGTCCATGGCTGAAACCAGGCCGACGGCGGCCATCGCGGCGACGAGAAGACAAGCAGACTTGTTCATCATTTTCTTCTTGGGTTACTTTCAGAAAACACACTTACTTCGCCAATACGAGTGACAGATCTTTCTTGACAGAGCTTGGGAATTGTGAGACTTCGATATCAGATCTCTTGCGTTTGATGGGCAACTGGAAGTGGCGTGGATGATCTTGGAAGAAAAATGAGCAGGGATGGATCACTGAGTCAGGTGCCCAAAGGATTTACCGCAGTCAGCTGGAGAACATTCCAAAGAAAACATTTTCGATTTTGCAGTATTTGCCGCGATAAGTTGATAAAAAGACTTGTATGTTTGTAAATAAACATTGTTTTGACAAATCTTAAATGGACTTTCCTCCCACGGTTCAAATCTTGGGAAGTTTTCGTTGTCCTGGGTGACAGGTGAAACTGACGTACAATCCAAGCCATCGATCGTGCACTGTTTGCTTCCAAGCAGCCTCCATCGATCCTCCACTTTTCCTTTGGGAACGGAGAGCTTGGGGAGTGATCTGAAGCTAGCGAGTGAACGTCAGAGTTAGCTGGAGCCAATGAAATCTGAGTCAAAAAGCTCCTGAGCTCAGTGTTACGGTTTCTCGGCAATGCAATTCCGTAACCATGCATCACTACTCCGTCTACGAAACGAATGGAATCGATCACTGGATTTCGAGATCCCACATAAGGCCTCTGACCTTGACCATGGACCTGCGCCTGGCCCCAAGCAAACTTGGTGGTCAAACTCGTGGACGCCACTTACTACATATTCCATATCCATGCCAAACTTTGAGACCAGCCAGTTCCTTCAGGACGACCATCAGGCCACTCTTCTGCAGCACAAGGTCCCACTCCTGGTCCAGTCACCGGTACCGTACCTTGAACCTATTATTAATTAAAAAAAAATACCGTAGACGGATTGAAGATTCGAACTTTAAATCGAATGATCGATCCAATCTTTCGATTCGATTCTTCGATGAAAAGACGCCGAAGCGAACACGAATGTTGACTTGATAGCAGGTGCCGGCTGGTACCAGGTACGCAAAGTCGAAGCGAACACGAATGTTGACTTGCTACCGCCCCCCCCCCCCACCACCGCAGCCCCTGCTCTGCCTAGCTTCGCCCCCCTCGCTCCTTAACGTATCTATTTAGTATTTGTCTAACTCTTGTACCTGGTACGTAATTTGCAGTCCACATTGTAGAAGTGACAGAGACGACCTCGATCCCGGCCCTCTCCTCAACACTCAACATGGGGTGGTCGACGTTCTCACAGAAGACGAGTTTCCCGAGAATAGAGAAAATGCGAGGAGGCTGAGGGATCAAGCTCGGCAACCCGAGGAAGTATGTGATGCTGCCGCTGTGGAGAGGTCCACGAACTGGTGCAAACTGGACCGAGAAAAGGTGCGGGCAGGCTTGGAAGCAGCATTGGAGGCAGATTCGACCCAGTTGTTAGACCTCATGGACCTGAAAAACTTGAACGAACTCTTACGAGATTCCATGAGACTGGCGGAAATTGGGATATCCGCACCAGCGTCAAAGAGTGTAAGATTGAAGACTCTTCTGTTCGTTGATTAGAGGGAGCCGGAAATTAGCCATAAACATTTACTACGGTATTGATTAAGCCAGCAAGAAGCTCCCTCAATCCTGGGTATGCTACACTGCATTTTGGGCGATGAGCCATGTCATGCTTTTGGGCAATGCTCGCAAGTACAGCCACATAGACTAGTTCCATAGCAGACTGACAGGTTGGTTGCCGGAACAGTATAGTCATTCCCACCAATAGGTTTCATTTCAAGTGACGAGACTATGACACCACATAATCCATCAGGGATACTGCCTGTCAAGGATGTGTTCATGACTACCAGGCTGGTCAAGTTGTCCAACAAAACTAGTTCTTTGGGAAGGGTTCCAGATAGGTTGGTATCTTGCAGTTCAAGCTTCTGAAGACTAGACAACAAACCAATTTCTGTTGCAATAGAGCCTGAGAGAAGGTTGCCATTGATACACAACCACTCTAGTTGGGTGAGTTGGGGAAGCACATCTTGTATTAGCGCTCTGCCTTCTAATTGGTTGGAATGGACGAGCAGTATTTTCAGCTCTAGAAGACAGATGGAAAAGCATGAGTACGAGACGAGTTTTGCAAACCTGGTTTGAGAAGACAACTCACGGGACATCTTTGATAACTCTTCTGGCAAAGTGCCAGTAATGGAGTTCCTTTGCAAGTACAAGTAGTTCTGCACAAAAAAACAAAAAAGACACAACTCCCTTAGTGCATAGAGGCACCATCACCACACCAGGTTCATTCATGATAACTTATCAAGTTTGTCAACAATCCCATCTCACTTGGCAAAGGGCCGCTAAGTTGGAAGTCGCTCAAAATCAGGGTTGCTAGGTTGGTCAGCTTGCCAATTTCAGCTGTTGAAATGATAATTTCAAAACATGTTCAGCAACCAGAAGGCAAAGAAAGAGAAAGGAACTAATGGCACTTACATGGGATTGATGTGAACGCCCCAGGTTTCCGATAGCTTAGATTTAGGATCTCCAAATTGTGCAGGTTTCCAACTATCTGAGGGAAGAAAGATGTTATATCCAACAAAGGGCACTCTGACAAACCCAAGTTCTTCAGATTTGACAATTGAAGAATCTCAGTGGGGATGGACCCTGTTTGGGCAGAAAATTCATGTGAGTCAAAAATCAAACTTTGGAATTTTTGTAATGCTTTTGTCGGCTCCCTTGCATACCAGAAAGATTCACTATCTGAAATCCCAGATCTGTGAGGTTTCTTAGGTTTCCCAGTTCAGTAGGTATAGTCCCATCAAACTCTCTCCCTGAGATCAATAGGTTCTCCAAGCTTTGCAGCTGACCTAGTTTTGTTGGTAGTATGCCAGACAAATGAGTTTTGCCAAACAAAAGGCTTGTCAGCCTTGTCATCATCCCAACCTCTGTTGGTATACATCCTTCGAGTTGGTAGTTCCCCGAAAATTGAAATGTTTCCAAGCTTTCACGAAGCAGGGATATTTCTGGTAGTATTGTTCCGTCCAAGTTGTTGGCCTTACCAAACTTCAACGATAGGAGTTGCCCATTGTCATGACAATAAGCCGCTGGGTTCGGGTACATGTACCAACCCGAATCAATTTGTGCCCAGCTGCACTCATCGGAGTCCCAATCCAGCCAGCCTTGATTTTTTACCCAATAGTCCCCCCGTGTGGAATAATAGAAAGTGGCCAATGCAAACCTTTGCTTCAGTCGCCACATTGGGAGATGTGGTGTATTGTTGGAGTTCTTGATATTGCTACTTAGCCATTGATATGCCTTGGTCTGTGGAGACCTCGGATTTTCCATTGCCCTGAGGGTGTATTCAGGTAGATTTAGTCTTTCCCATAGAGATGTTGGTGCTTGTGTGATTGAAGCCATTGTCCCTGATTTTGTTGGTATTGGAATCACTCCATTTTTCGGCTGTGCGGGCTGAGTTTGATTATTTGATTTCGCAGCAAGAAGAAATGCCAAAAGGATGATAGAGACAATAGCAATGGCAACAATGGCTTCCAGGGAGAGGTCGAGGCATATCTTCTTCTTCCATAATATTTTTGCCCTTGTTGTTATTGGCTCTGCAATTGGAATCTCCCCATTTTCTGAGTCGTCAACTGGGTCGGCATGAACAAGACCACCATCGTTCCTCGTTGATGCCTCAGTGATATGTCTAGTGAAATTGAAGGCCAACAGATTGCTAATATCAGCATGAATAAGAGTGTCATCGTGATATCTGTCATTTTGAGATGTAGGCACCAATTCCAGTCCCAGCTCTTCCATTTCAGTAGTCCTACCAGTCAATGGCCTACTGCTTGGGCGATAAAATATTGGTCTAATCCCAGCCACGGCATGGGCCCCAGGTACCGCTTCTGAGACCCTGCTTGCTCGAGACAATTCTGGTGGGCTCAATGTTGTTGATGGCTGGATGCTACTGATAACATCATCGGTATGTGCCGGGGGTGAGGAGACCTTTGAATCAAGGCTGCTGGGAAATGTGGTTGGACGCTGACTTCCAATCACCTCCTCCATCTCTGTCTTCTCTTTCGACCCTTCCTTCTCAACCATATCATAGAAACTGTTTGTTTGTTGTTGTTGTTGTTGAACATCTTGACTCTGTGTCTTCTTTATCATTGAGGGCTTGCTTCTAGAGTTTGGCAATATTCGAGGAAACAAATACTAAGTGGATGGGAATAAAACAAATACTAAGTAGATACGTTAAGGAGCGAGGGGGGCTAAGCTATGGTATCGGTAGTGGGTACTGGTACCAGGTAGTACTGGGAGAGGGGAGAGGACAGGAGCAGGGCTAGAGGGGGGAGGGGACAGCACGGAGCAAAAGGAGGAAGCAGAGGGGAAGTCGAGAGGGATTAAAAGGGGGCAGGATTAGCGGAAGAATACTAAGTAGATACGTTAAGGAGTGAGGGGGGCTGAGCTACTAGTAGTTTGTTGTTCCCCAACGATGCTTAATAATGAACTGCTTCAAAAGTTGCCTCCGCTGATGTTTGGATGTGATTCGATTCGCGTTTTGGCGGTCATGCTGATTTGATTCGATTCAATTTTCATGTTGCACGTCTACATGTACCGCTACTAGTACTGGTACTAGACGTTGTGGCATTTGCTTGGCAGTCGAGGGAATTCCTTGCAAGGGAATACATGAAGACTCCCCAAACTTCGAGCTTCACATTCTCACATTGGGAAGTCTAAATAAATGACCGTATTATTTTTGTACACTAGTCGCCACGGGAACGGAAGCGTACATCGCAGCGAGTATGGTAGGCATAGGGAGCGGTGGATCATTGTACAGTAGGAGGACACGGACCAGGGCGTGGTACTCACACTGTTTTAGCATGTGAGTATGGGTACTGAGTAGTACTCACAATTCCAAAGTCAAGTGAGTATGGGTACTGGGTAATACTCACAATTCCCAGGGTCAAGTGAGTACGGGTATCATGTGAGTACAGGTACTTTGTGGGTACTATAGAGTACTCACTGAGTACTCATAAATCAATTACTTAGGAAATTATCTAGGTTTTTCTGTTCTGGGCTGGGGGCTCATCAATCTTGTTGTAAAGGTCCACCATGCATCAATATCACTGTCATAATCCTCCTTTCACATCTGCTGGCAGTTAGCTTGAGGAGCCTTGGTCCTATTCTTAGCCCATTCCTTTCTTGCATCATTGATGCATTGCTTGTAGTCTGGATGAATGCACTGTTCTTGTAGCAAAGAAGGCGCATTTGGAATGCATGTCAACCTTCTGTCCATTGCTGAGTTTTCCATCAAACCATGTACAAGAACTGAAACTCTTTCTTGGAAGCCGTTGCTATCTGGCATTGCACTCACCGAGTACTCACCGAGTACTCACTGGTACTCACTTCGAAGTACTCACCGAAGTACTCACCGAAGACTCAAAAAGTACTCAAAATCCGGAGTCATGTGAGTACGGGTACTGAGTAATACTCACATTTTCTGAGGTCATGTGAGTATGGGTACTGAGTATACTCAGTACTCAGTACCTGTACTCACATCGAGTACACGCAGCGTGTATTTCATGTGAGTCCCACACCCTGACACGGACTGCTGCGCAAAAGAGGGGACTTTTGCTACTTATTGAGAAAGACGTACGATGTGGGCGCTGTTGCTTTATCATGTTGCAATCACTCCTCCGATGGAGCACCAGCCAAAGGCCGACGACGCAAAAGGAATTGCACGTCCTATGGCAGGGAATGACTCATTTGCAACTTGGGCAAGACTGTAGCTACCGGTAGTGCTCAAATCAATCAGAGCACGGCTTTTACCTTGACCTTCTTCACTTTCCCGCTAAACAACAACTCGAGTTGAGTCGACCCACTCAGGCCGACTTGTGCCGGACAACGATTCGATGAAGCTACTATTACCGGTAGCACTGTATAACGAGTCAGAGTCAATATCCTTTGCACGAACTGATCCTTACAGTTCGCCCATGGCGCGGTGTATGAGGGTTTTTGCTACATTGTGAGCTATTTTACTCTATCCTATACCTATCCTCAACTGTTTGTTTGTTGATATTTCAAACTCCATCAGTTGAGGCAGCACCACTGCTGTCATGGTTGGAAGCATGCTGACCTTCCAGATTGTTCAGGATCACATGATCCCTCACTATCTCACACGCCCTCAGATGCTTCGAAGGCTGCTTCAGTTGTGCTGCTGTCATTGTTTCAGCCTCCCACTGCAAGATGCTCTCGCGCTGTGACTCAAACAATGGCACTGGTTGTGGCTTGGTGGCTATGTCAGCCAGTTGATATCGACTTGGTATCTTGTGGATGGATATCTTCTTAGATCGAACGTGATCTCTGAAGTGATGCATCTTCACGCATATGTGCTTCGTCCTCGGACGCATCTTGGGTTCCTTTGCCATTTCGAGCGCTCCACTGTTGTCCTCGAATACTTTGCAATGAACGACGGGAGGCTGGTCGTGCACTGACCACTTTAGTCTCTCATTCGTTTCTTCGATCAACTGCATCAAGCTAATTGTATCCCTTAAGGATTCGGACAGTGCGTTGTACTCTGCCTCAGTTGTAGATAGAGCCACTTCTCGTTGTAGTTTCGATGCCCACGTCACTGGGCATCCTGCATAGAGGATGACGAATCCAGTTCGCGATCGAGCTGTGCCTGGATCAACGTCCGCAGTTGCTCTGTTCCAGTTGCCAACAAAATCCGCGTCCACGAACACGTCGAACGAACACTTCTGCGGATTCAACACTATCCCCTTTTCGGCGTTTCCAACCAGATATCTTCCGATCCTCCTCACTGCTGCTGCATGAGACTCTTTCGGGTCTGCAGAGAATCTTGCGCACTGATGCACGGCATATGCCAGGTCTGGTCGTGTTGATTTCTCCAGAAAATTCAACTTGCCAATGACGCTCCGGTAGTTCCAATCGTCCTTCATAGGATCGCCACCTACATCGCGCTGTAGCCTCACTGTTGACGCTGCTGGAGTCTTCTGCGACTTGGTCTTTTCGTTGTATCCAAGGTCATCTAGAATCTGCTTGATCATGTGCGGCTGAGTCAACTTGATCAGCCCGTTTGCCAACCTCTCAATCTTGACTCCTAAGTAATCAGAAAGGTCCCCCTCATTCGTCATGTTGAATGCACGGAACTCTTTTCCTTCCTCGCTCATGAAAGGCTTGGAAACAAGCTCGAATACGTCATCAATCTCCTTGTCCGTTGGTGCGATGAATATTCCATCGTCCACGTAGATGAGCAGGACCACTGATCCTTTGTAGTACACGCACATGTCGACGCTGCTCTGTTCGAATCCTCGAGCTATCAATCCGTCGTGCATGTACCGGTTCCAGACTCTCCCGGCTTGCTTTTGACCGTAAAGGTTCTTCTCCAAAAGGAGGCAATGTTCACCGTGATAACGGCGCTTGTCGCTCGTCTGTTTGAGCACTGATCTTCCCTTCGACTGTTCGACGCTGAATCCTTGTGGCACTTCCATGTACATCTCGCATTCAATGTCTGCCTGTGGGAATGCCAGTACAAAATCAACCTGTCTTGATTTCCAGCAGTTGACCAACATCAAGATGAGGAAGGCGCGGATTGTTGTCCATCCGACGACTGGAGAGTATGTGTCCCAGTAGTTAACAAATTTCGTCTGCTTCCCACCATGGACGTTCAGTCTCGCTTTCCACTTGTAGATCTCTTGTGTCGCGATCCTTCTCTTGCGTCTGAAAGCCCACACGGATGGCAACAGCTTCGTTCCTTTCGGCATCACGGATTTTGGGACCACTCGCCAATGTTTCCAGTCCGTGTGCGATTCCACCTCTTTCGTCATTGCTTCCCGGAACTGTTTCGAATCGTGTGCGTCCATAGCGCCGTCGATGTACATGATGTCCGGATTCGCAGACGCTGCGAACGAGATTGGGTCCTCCATTTCATCTTGGATTTGATATCCCTCAACGTGGAATACCTCCCATGGGATTTCCGCCGCTGCCAACGAGATCTCGTAGTCATCTCTGATACGTTCAGGTAGTCGGATCCTTTGACCACTCCTTGATCGTCTCTCCTCTCTTCCATCGTGTCGCCCCGTTTCGTTCCTGGCGGGTACACTCTCCCGTTCAGGCTCTATGCTTCCGTCATTGTGAGCCTCGCCGTGGATTCCGAAATCTTCTCTCAATATGTCCTCCGCAGTAGGAATTTGCGACTCGCGATTCCGAGTCTCTGCCGAGTCGTGGCGGGAATCGTCTCTTTCTTCTTGTTGTTGTTGTTTCGGAACACTTTCTTTACCGTCTCCACGATGACGATCTGCCGCTGATTCCGGCTCCTCCTGCTCCGTAAAACCTGCCTTCTCCTGCCACTTTGATGGAGGGACTATATTGCCTGTTGAACGGCGCAGTGTGTCACAGAGGTCGTCGTACTGACAGTGAAACTGCGGTGATATGAGACCAGTTTTCAAACTCAGGACCAAAGCCACTTTCCTCGAATGACGAGGCGACAGACCTAAATAGACCCCAATTCGCGCCTTGTGTTCCCACTTGGGCATCGGCTTCCCTTGTTGCGCCCTGCTGTCAAGGACGTAAACAGGGGACCCGAACGTGTGGGCGTTCTTGACTTTGGGCTCTACGTCCACTCCGGAGAACAGCTCCAGAGGCGAGACGTGATCTTTTCCCTTGCGGATTGGCGTCGCGTTCGCGATATCATTCGCATACCTGACTGCATATGGCCATAGATGGGCCGTGATTGCGTTCGGCCATCGCTGTTTTGAGTGCAGAATCATTGTCCTTGCCGCTTCCTGCAGGTCTCGGATCTTCTTCTCGGCTCTTCCATTCATATGATGTGCGTTGACCGCAGCATACGAGATCGTCTGCCCACTCCTGTGGACTTCCTCGACAAATGCCTTGCTTTCGAAGATCCTGTTGTCTCTGTGGTAGTGTCGAACCGTCACCCCAAAAGTTTTGGCATATCTCTCGAAGGCTCTCTTGGCTATGATTGTCTGCTCTGCGGACGTAGACGTTTGCAAGTGGACAAACGACAGTCCGCTATAGTGATCAACAAACACGGTGCTGATGGTGTATCTCTTGCGTGTCAGTATGCCTCTCATTTGCCCGATGAAACCTGGAGTCGATGAGATGAGCTGATCGACCCCGACCACAAAACCTGGAGCTGTTGCGTTCGGGACCATGTCATTATTTTGATTGACTGGTGTCCGCGACCGCCACGCTCTCTTGGTTGCTCTACCGAACATGCAACTTGCACACTTGGGTGCTCTGGCGTTCACGAGGGAAGCTGGGAGTGCTCCTCGTTGTGCGAGCTTCCTGATTCTGTCGAATGACAAATGACCGAGTCGGTAGTGCCATGAAAGAAGGTCCGTCTCCTTGGTCATGTACTCCGTGTAGTCGTGATCGACCACTGGGACCTGAACGAACTTGTTCAGGTCCTTTCCCATCTTGAATGATGCATCCGTCACTTGCTGTTGGAACTCCTTGGAACGTTCGCCCTCGGTGTTGACGTCTCTGGGAAGATCTGGATGCGCCCTGGGCTCAAACTCTGGATCGTCCTCGCTGTCAGATCTGTCGGAGGAAACCGACGACTCGTCATCAGTCACGGAGGCTGCTGGACAGCAGAGTAACTCCGTCTCATCAAGCTCTTGCTCCTTCCTATCGGAACTAATGGCTGGGGCAATCTCTGAGCAGAACGCATGAAGTTTCGAGAAGGAAGGTGCGCTCCGAACGATTGCAATATTGTTGGACGGGGACAAGGGAATCATTCTCTTGAAGCTCCTCTGATTCCAAAACAGCTCCACCGAATCCTCGTACGTGGCACACCACGTTCCCCTTTGCTTTGGCCGGTTGTCATCTGCAACTCTCGCCCAGTGCTGTGGCGACAGCAGCCTGTAAGGTGTTGATGGGTTGTAGTAAGTGTCGGGGATGAGGAAGTGATGGACCATGCCATCGTCATCTTCAATTGACCACCTCACTGTTCCCTTGTACGTTGCCGTGACTGTCCCACCTATTCCTTGAACCTTCACTTGAACCTTCGTGGGCTTGCCTATGAAGTCCTTCATGCAGTTGGTGATGCACCTGGATGAGCAGTTGTCGATCGCAATCAAGACTGAGTCTGCGTCATATTGGTGGTCCTCAGCACCCTGATTGATCTGGTTGGATAGCGAGAAGGCAATGAACTGCAGCGCCGTAATGGGGTTGGCTTCGCAAGCCAACATTCGAAGTCCTCCTTTTAAGATCAGAAGGAATCTGATGAAGAACTGAAAGGTCGTTGCAGGTAGGTGTGGATTGTTGGAATGATTGAATTCCCAGAGCGTCACCGGATACCTCTTGTTACGGTACCTGCCACAGATCTTGGCATACGGCTCGTCCTCATCGTCGTCCTGATCCAGGAACGACTCATCGTCATTGACTTTCCTCTTGTTCTTGTTTTCTGTAGGAATTCCTGCCGATTCCATGACGGCCAGGTGCGTTAGCTCGATCATGAGCAGTGTCGCGTTGGTCACGCCCCACGAGACGGACTTGATTGCATCAACTGATGTCTTGCAGACTCTTGTGAGGAAGGCAGGTTCCTTCCTGAGTCTCTTGGGCACGTACTGTGGTGCTTCTTGCGGGCTCAGACCCCACACGAGCATCGTCCTTGCCACAGCGAAGAACATAAACAAGGCTGCACCGAACTCGGTGCTCGCGAAGGCGAACGCTGTCGTGTCCACGGTACACGACGCTGCTGCAGCAGCAATCCTAATCAACAGATGGATGGGGTCCTCGAACAACATCATGACGAGGATGAACAACATGGGCTCGCTGCACAGCGCCCTAAGCCATTCGAAGGTTCCGAGCATGTTCTCGGCGGCTAAGAGAAGTAGCATCTGTGAAAGATGCACTTCCGCTGCCGCGTCATCAAATGCTCGCTCTGCTCTGGTGCTCAAGGATTCGACGGTCTCCTTCCAGCTCAGGATTGTCACTAGAGCGTTGGCTATTGCTATGGCTAAGAGTAGGGGCTGAAGGGCACAAGTAACAGAAAGTTGGTCACTAAAGTGATTACAGTACGCTACCAGTGGGTACGACAGGTATCCTCTACTCCGCCACCATCAGAGTTGTTCATCGACGACAGGGAGCAACGTGTCGGTTCCGACATCTTCAATCGCATTTGCCAATGCTGCCGCGGATGCGTCCTCTTCCTTGGGCTTGTTCTTGGCGGCTTCCAAGGCTTCCTTCATCTTTTCACATCCAGTCTTGTGGATGATTCCCTTGTTGTTCACCTCGAGGACCCACTTGGTTGTGTGATGGTAAGGGCAGTAGATGTACTTCTTGCCGTTGACAGTCTTGTTCTGGGTCTCTCCTTGCTTTGGAGGAACGAGTTTCCAAGCGTTCTTCTCAGTGTAATCGCTCGCCTTCTCACTCTTCTTGCCGTCCGTCGCACTCTTAGGCGCCCCCTTCGTGGAGGGTGTCCTGAGCCTGCTCATTTCAGCCTTGAGCGTGAGGATCTCGAGTTCCTCATCAGTCTTCTTGAGCCAGACTTTCCTGTCCTTCAACACTTTGTACTTTTCCAATGCCGTGGACATCAACGTGGCATATTCCAGGTCGATGGTTCCGTCTTCATAGGCCTCTTGTTTGCGTGCGATGTAAGTGGCGAACGTTTTGTCGGCACAGTTGCTGTACCCATCGAACAGTGGGTTCAGCATCGAAGGAACTGCTACGTTGCGTGCCGTCAGCTGATTGACGAGGTCATCAACTCTGTCATTGAACGCTGCAATGTCGGACTTGCACTCTTCCATGATGATTTCGAGGTTGGCAAGTCGCTTCATGATGAGAGCCACTGTTGCCTTAGTCTCGACCGAGACGATCTTGATTATGTCGTAGAGCATACAAGCTCCATCTTCCTTGTTGATGGGAGGTGGTGCGGCCTGTCCTGGCTGGGTCGCGGCTGCCGCATTGACGGTGTAGTTGGCCTTTCTGTTGATGAGCTTATCTGCGAGCTTGGACGTGATGGATCCGATGATGAGTTGTCGGAGGCATGCGGAAGCCTGATGTTCCCTGTTGTCCTGGCGAAGGTACGCGATTGAGTGATTCTTGACTCCTGCGACTGTGAGGCAACCATACTCTTGCGTGATGTTCCTAGGAGTGCCTTCTTCATCCGTGATCATGAGGATGGTGGTCCACCCAAATGCTTCGGCACGGTGCCAGATCTTGCGAAGGAAGTCACGTAACTTGATTTCGGTGCCATCGTACTGAGGCGTGAATGGAGCGGTTGCAGCGATGAATATCTTGAGTCCAGTTCCGGACGTGAAGTCCCAGGCGTCGTTTCCAGTTCCTGCTGGAGTCACCGCGAATGGTGCTACTGGTCGTGCATTTTGTACTGGTCCGCGGATAGCGGTCAGTACGGCTTGGTCTTGCATCGCGGCGGCGACCGCGACTGCTGCCGTAACTAGTTGCGTGATCTGAGCAGCGTCCATGTTTGGTGCTTGTGCTATCCTTTCTTGATCGCGTAACCTGCGTCTCTCTAACCGATCTCTTGTCCGTTGTAGTTGCCTGGCGACTTGTTGGATCTGATCCGCTCTTCTGACTGCTCTTTGTTCCCTATTTGGAAACTCTTGATTTTCGTCGGAGTCAGAAATCTTGTTCGTTCACTTCACAGTGGGTGAAGTAAATGAGGTCCTCAGTTCGACGGAAGTGAGGTGGCGTTGACTATAGCCAACGTCCTTTGGCAAATGCCAAAATTGTATTGGTACGGAGCAGCACCTTTAGTGACTGAACTGTCAGTAAAAGGTGGTGCTCGGTGGCTTAACGAGGTGCTCCTTGAAACAACGTAAGTGACAAGGAGTTGCTCGAAGCATGCAGCATGCGCAGAGGAAGCGTGAGGGTTTTTGCTACATTGTGAGCTATTTTACTCTATCCTATACCTATCCTCAACTGTTTGTTTGTTGATATTTCAAACTCCATCAGTTGAGGCAGCACCACTGCTGTCATGGTTGGAAGCATGCTGACCTTCCAGATTGTTCAGGATCACATGATCCCTCACTATCTCACAGGTGTAGAGTACGGTCCACCAATCTGAGTGCATTTCCACTGCTGGGTATGGAAAAACTTCAACTATTCCCGCACAACAAGGATGGCACGAGCGTGAGATCATTCATGTTGATTCACATCTGGCTGACCTACCTTGCCCCAACACGCAGCTCCTACGAAAGGGCAAATCTTGTTTGAGTGGCAACCTCTAGACGTGCGTGCATTCGTGGCAACCTAAACCCAAGAGTGCAAAGAGGCCATCACAGCGCGTGGCTGCTTTGGCTCTCCGCTTTCCAATATGTGGGAAGCAACCATAAGCGGCGAGCACTCGAGTCGACATACGATAATAAATTCCAAGAGAAAGGCTGTTAGCCGTATTCCTGGTTGACAGTCGGATAGGATGACCTTTCAAGGATCCATTTTGCGTCACCGCCACTCGATCATCATCATGAGCAGGCAGGAGATAACTTTGCTAAAACTCAATGCAGATGATGGTTACGGTCGAACAGTTCCCTCCCATAGGGGTCATGTTCAATGTCTCAACGATACAGGCTAGGATTCTACACTACCACTAATATACCACTGCCTGAATCGAACCCACTCGAAGGAAAAACACGAGCACAAGCCACTAAAACATGCCACCGGAATCCTCCACCGGTCGTTGGCCTGTCGACAAACTCACTGTTGGATCCGTCCTTGCTCATGCACGTCGCAATCTTCATCCACTGAACGGTACCGGTAGGAGCGAGGACTGAATCACGACCTGTGTTGGTAGGCAGGGAAATGTGATGAGTCATCATCCACGGTTGGGACAGTGTCGGAGCGCAAGAATGGTCAGTGTCTTTGGACTGGCTAGCTAGTATCCACAACAACCCCGTCACTGCAAGCACGTAATTTGAGGAGGCCTTTAATGTCTCTTCGGCCACCCACTCACCAAATCAAAGCATAGAGACACACAACGATGGCAGAATGTCTGCCGTGGCGAAAATGGCCAAGCAAGAACTCGATCGGGCTCGGGCTTTGACTCCTTTCGAAACTGGGGTGGGTGGGTGCATGGCAAACTGCAGATCTGACTCATAACGGTAAATTCAATGTATGTGACTTGCTCTGATGTTGTGCACGGCACATTTAGGTCAGTGACAAGTCTACAAGTCACAAGACGATGCCAACGAAGAGATAGAAGAAGGCTGAAACTGGCTTTCGGTGTCCCATCGCGCAGAGAGTGCCAGGTAATACCGCGACATGTACCTCCACTCGAAACTTGTGCTCCACGGCAACTGTGTGTCTCCAAATGACGCACTTCAACATTCCAACCAACGTTAGGACACCGTTGATCTTGGCATCAAGTGTACTATCCCCGATTCTGATTCGATTCATTGCTTCGACTGTCCCATGATCTCTGCTCAGCAAGTGGTTCTACCGCCACCAAAAGCACCACCACACAAACTTGCTACTGCACCTTGGGGTAAAAGACTGTTTTGGCTGAAAAACAAAAGTAAAAACAACTCTTTTAGTAAAACAAGATTCAGTCCTGTTTTCAACTGTCATTAATTGGAGATCAGCAAGTTTCAAAGGAGAATACTGTCTCCTTTTTGAGACAGCTGTCTCCTTTTAGAGACGGTCATCTCTAAAAGGAGACAGTTGTCTCTAATCGTTTCTAGAGATGAGGTAAACTAGGAAAAATTTACTATTTATTATTAACCTCATCCCCCTTTAAACTGTCTCAACTTGGAGACTGTTTAGACAACTGTCTCTCTAATTGACAGTAAGCCTTTTTACGAGACTATGAGTCTGTCTCAAAAAGGAGACAGTATTCTCCTTGATCCATGTAAGACTAAAACGTCTAAACTGAGTTTTTTCCTTTTGTTTTTGTTTTTTCCTCATTGCTGGTCATTTTACCTGGAGGTGCTGGCAGACAAGGTTCTCAGTCGAAGGCAAACCAACCAGAACGACACACTGCAAAACAAGCAAGCATGCACAGCGCTGGATGCTGGACAGATGGAAGCAGGGCGTGGTACTCAAGCCGATCCTAACGGTACAGCGAGACCGAGACCGGTACTGTTACCAGTACTCTGTTTGGTGCTGTACTCGAGTAAGCTCTCGAGTACTCGAGTAGGACTTTCTCTGGTAGCGGTTGCCTACCGGTACGGGGAAGAGGGAAAATGGCTCTTTTCTTGGTCCCGCAAATGGTCAATGAGGGATATTAGTAGTCTATAAAGGTAAACAATGGTCAAAGATCAAATGGAGAATTCGTTTTATTTATTTATTGACCACCCTTGACCACGAGTGACCACGGCTGACCACGCTTGACCACGGCTGACCACACTTGACCACGGCTGACCACATTTTTCACTGCAATTTAACTAGTAAAAGACCATGGCTGACCACGCTTGACCACGGTTGACCACACTTGACCACGGGTGACCACGGTTGACCACACTTGACCATGGTCCTCGCAGTCAAAATGACCGTTTATCTTTAAAATCTGACTTTTATGGTTAAAGTCGGTCAAAACATGTCCAATGTGGTCTCCGTTTCGAGCACTGTGGTCGCTTTTTCCCTCTTCCCGGTATAGGAGCTGGTATAGGGTACCGTGGACACGTAGACACTCGATTGCAAGCTTCTCGTCCTGTTTCCACTGACTCCGTGTGGGTACTTGCAATACGACTCTTGTACTCGAGTACCAGTACGTGGTTAAAAAGTGGGTGCTGGGGTCTGGGTGGTGGGTGGTACACCTGTGGTACATGTAGTACATGTACAGTACTTGCATCTCACAGCAAGGGCACTTTCTCGAAACTGATTTGACTGGGTTCCAAAGCTGTTACAAACGCAGGCGCAAAAACCTTTGATTCTGCATTCTGAGTCGCCATGATTTAACAGTCACGGCTGTGTCCAAAACCGCCACTTTTGGACTGCTTCAACAACTAACTGGGTTGGTGCTGGCGCTTGGACTGGCTCAGTCCACACTTTTGAAATCAACCATCATGGCATCATGGGTAGTGTTCTATCCTATTGTCTACTCTAGCTAGCCTGTCACAATCTCACAATAGCCTCTCACAATTTCAGAAACAAAAACACAAAAGGCAAATTCGACAGCTTCAGGAAATCATTCAACATGTGCTGCTCTAGTCCCTTGCAACAATTCTTGATGGCAAACTTTTCCACCAGCAACTTGATTGTCATTGACGACAATGCTGCTGCCCCAGCTGCTCCAACGCCCACGCCAAGTCAACCTCGAAGGATCTCTCGGAGGTCAAGAATCGAGCAAAGGAGGAGGGGACGTGGCCCTCGTCGCCAACAGCAGGTGCAATCCGATGAACCCCAGTTGTGTCGTTGGGGTAGCCTGCCAATCAGCACGGGCTCTCCAGAGAGAACATCGCCGCAACCAGCTTTCATGAGGTCGGAAACTCACCCCGTGCCTTCTGGAATCGCTGATGCACCCCAAAGGCCCCAACGTAGGGGAAGCATGACCCACGCTCCTAGCGCGCCCGCCATGAATCAAAGCAAGAGAACTGGTACCAGTAGTCCAAGAAAGCCACAACGAAAGGGTAGCCTGAACGCGTCTACCATGGAGGAAGACTACATCATGCCAGTGAAGCCAACAAGGAAAACACCGAAGAGGAGCCGCCCAACCAAGAAAGTTGTCGTGAACGCATCCACAGCCTAGGCAATTCGGTTTCGCTTGTACAGCTTAGAAAAAAGTATTCACCCAATGTTCAAACTTTGCATGTCCAAAAATGGCCAGCTTGATGCACATATATAAACGAATGGTGACGCAATAGATAAGAATAAACGGTTGATAATAGACTACTAAGAATGTACATATGATGATGACCAGTTACCAGTAGTAGTCTAAGAGAGAGTGAAGCAGTGTATCAATCTATCCGGTTGCATAGCTCAACTAGACGCTATCTGCGCATATTTCCACACCGTAGCTCAATCTCAATCGAGGATGCTGTAATAAGGCACGGGATGCAGGTTTGAGTATCTGCAGAGCTCATTTATCCGTGCGTTTGGCTCATGTTGAAGGCAGCCAGCGGTCCCTATCCGCTAACGATTGGATTCCCGCCGTTGAGGCATGATAGTACTGGTAGGCGGATCGAGAGTCTACCCGCCATAGATAAACTGAGTATAGTACTCACTTTCGTTGCCACCCAGCCAGCCGCTGGTTGCAACCGTACTTTGGATCTGAACCGCAGGAAGTACAAGGTACCGGTATAGCTCTCAGGTCAACTCAGTGAAATCCATCTATGTTACAGAATATCATTCTACCCCTTTCATTTCAATGGGTGTTTCAGTGTGCCTAAGCAGCCATCACAGCCAAGCCACTTTTCACTTCGATGCTTTTCAGTTGCTTCCTGCTCTTCGCTTGCACAAGGAACGAAGAGTCGAGTTGATCATTCGATTCTGCCCCTCGAAAAGAGTGAAGATGAGTTTCTCTACCTCTAGCACGCTACCGTGCCTTTTGCTGTGCGAACGAAGCACGCATAGCGAAAGCACCGTATGGCACAGATCAGATCAGGCTGGAGATGGATGCGTGGAGGAGTTTCTGGGCGAGTGGTTTCGAGTTTCGAGATTGAATATATTCGATTGAGATTCTCCCGATTGCAGATTGAGGATTCGATTCCGGTCACACTTGCCCTGTCCTCTTAGTTCGCAAGACCCATCTGCCGAGGGTTCACACAACATGGAAGTGCGGTCGTCTCCTGCCCCGCCAAGAGATTTATACCGACTACAGTATCCTTGCCGAACCTGTGGCTCCTGGATTTCACGACTTTCAGTTTTTGTCGTCAGCAGTCTTGGACTCCATTCCGGACTCGGATGTACAGCAAGTGCTACGACCCTTTTTGCATTCGGCAACGGCGCTGACAAACCACCACCACCAACGAAGACAAGAATCAAAACTTTGACAGTCACTACGACAAGCTTCTACCAACCGCTTTTGCCAGCGCTAGCCAGAGCTACGTAACTCTAGTAGAACTCTTAGAGTCGATCCAAAATTTTGCTCATAGTTGCTTGCTATTGGTTTGACGTCACGGGCATGCCGGTGGTCCTTTCGAGCAGTGGAGCCTAAACCGTAGCTACCGGCCTCGGCGTCATTGTATGATTCCAATAGTGGAGAAAGGCGTTTCTGCATCATCATCATCCATTCATACGATTTTAGCATCATCGATTCTCCTTTTTTCGTCTTCCTCTGGCAGGTGGTGGAGGCGTCAACGTTTTATTGGATGGCCAGCAGCGATTGGTAATCATCTCCTTGCCTCGTTCTTGTTGTTCTTGTTCTTGTGTGTATTGCTCCCGTAAATAAAGAGCGTACTTGGATGCCGATCCTTGGTAGTTGCAAAAGCTGCAGTAGTCCATATCCTTGTCGCATCCACTACATGTTGTGAATACCTTGGCCCGCTGCCCCAGAATGAACTCCCAAATGGTCCACAAGGTTTTGTCCATATTGTCCAGGTTAATGTCCTTTAGCAGATCCGGAGTATCACGGTTGTTTTGTGTCTGTTGCGCCATGTACGTGGTATATCCCTGTTCGAGTTTCCGAAACCCCCGGTCCAGGAGTAGTTGTAGGGATGGATAGGACGTGTTGGGACTGGCATCGGCAGCGAGAGCAACTCCATCCCATTGGAGCGATGGTACCAAACTCAAGGGTGAAATGAGCACAAATGGCAGACTACCAGCACTACTGCTGCTCGTGTTGTTTGGAGGCAGTTGCTGTTGGAGTATAATGTCTCGTGCTTCCAAAATGGCGTGGGCACACGGCATGTAATCGTCGCGCATGACTTCAGGTCGCCATTGCAGAGCGGCATAGGGCGTCCCGGGCTTTATTCGCAGGTAGTGTTCCAACATGGCGTCGACGACTTGATAATGACGCGGTGGAAAGTGGAGCAGGTCTTGACTGGAAAAGGCATTGTCGAGGCGATGTGCTCTTCGCCCCGTTCCCCTTTTCCATAATCGCAAACTGTTTTTACGAATGTCGGAAATAGCAATAATGGTCATGGTGTTGGGATGTTCTTGACTGTATTGAATGGCGGAATCCAAGTCGGGTTGTTCCTTTTGCTGAAAGGTAGTATTGATGTAGTGTTCCAGGTTGATGTTGTTACCCCCAATAATCATATGCTTGAGATGGGACACAGGACACGTTCCTCCCTTTTTGAGACAGGCAGGAAATGTTTTGATGGCAGTAGTGGAGTGCTGTTCTTGTTGTGCTTGCAGGAATTCTTCGTAGGTGGCAATGTGGGGATAAAAGTGGGTGCGTGCTCGATGAAGATCAAACATGTCTCCCAATCGAATTACTACTGGCGTGTTGTTGTTGTCAGCCATGACAGCTTTGTTGTTGTTTTCCAGGAACAAGCCACAGCCAATTCGTTTCCCACCTGCCAAGCACGGTTCCACCAATGTGGCTTTTAAATTGTACGCCAATGAAAGCAGTTCGGTAAAAGTCTCCTTCCAACCAGCCATTCCTTCGTGCCAGACTTCCGCATAGATCCAAAGATTGCTCGGTCTCGTTGGTTGTGTCCCTATCATCATTGTGTTGTTGTAGTTGTCCTCTTGATCCTTATTATTATTAATGTGGTGGTGGTGGTGGTGAGTGGCACTGGAGCGGACCTGATGTTCTGCAGCGGCTGGTGGTCGGAATTGCCGTACGTCCCACGAGTTATACAAAAACCCTCCGACTGCCACCAGAACACCCGCACACAGGGCAATACTGATCCCTTTCTTCATGCCTTGCTTGGCCTTGCTTACACTACCATATGGACATTCTTAGTTGTAGACAGCAAAAACAATGGTGTTGTTGGGGTGTGGTGGCGAACGAAAGTGGAGCCGTATCCACGAATGACGGAAACCGCGTTTCCCTTGTGCCAGCAAGGCTGTCAACAACCGGTACGAGTACAATACCGGTACCGGTACTGCCCTGATGATCATAATCATCGCGGAGTGTGGCTTCGAGGATCCTTGTCAGGCAAATAAATAAAAAGTCTACCAGTACACTCAACAACAAAATTCACCGAGTTGTTGGCAAGTATACCGGTAGCTACGACAGCAGGGAGAAAGGGAAGAAGGTCCAGGCGGAAATAAACAATTCACGGATTTATATCATTCGAGAATGTGCTAGTCTATAACCACCCAAGCAAGAAGTGGTCTTCGAGGATTTGGCTAAGTCGACGACGACTTGATTGTTCAAGATAGATGTAACTCAATTAGTTAGATATAGAACATCAATTACCAACCAAATAGACCATACCCATTGCATTAGAGATAGACACCTTCTCTATCAATAGGAGAGCTAGACCTCGCCTTCCAGGTAGTCAACCGGTACTAGTATGGTACATTTGGTTTCTGTTAGAAAGGTATTTTCGTATGACGGACAGACGACTCGGGATCCACAATCACGGTTCGTGATTGGGGATGTGTGACTCAAATCAGATGGTTATCCGATCATCATCAGATGGCCAGGTGTACAAGGAACGAGGACAATGGTCGTCTAGATGATGCAACTACAAAGGTTAGGAAGTTAGGTCGAAGAGATGAATGCAAGGAGCGACGGGATGGAACAAATGAATGGACGGATGAAGTCCATAGGTTTAGTAAAGTGGGAAAGCCCTCCAGGGCCAACCATGCACTTCGGAAGATAGATCGACAGATCTATCTGCAGATGAAACTGCGAGAAACAGAGGATCGAAAGATCTGGTAATGTATGCATATGGAGCTCAGTTGTAGAGCTCCAAATCTGAACGAGAGAGAAGAGAAAACGAAACAAATAGCCAGTCTACTAGACAGTAGAGCTGGAGGATATTGATTAAATTAGAGAATTTGTGCGTTCAAGTTCACCCTTTTCAACACGTTTTAAAACGATAGCTATCAGGAAAGAGTGAGCTTGGATCCAGGTTGTTCAAACAGAAAAGAGAAGAATTGAGAAGTAAGTAAAGATGTCTACGGAGTTAGAGGTATCATCGTCGAGCAAGTATCCATCTTCGATGGGAAAGATGAGAAGTTCAGGTTCTACAAGGTCAAGATGAGGCCCATTTATCAAAGTATTGTGCAATACACGCTCTTAGACTTATCGGACTCGATCTAGATAGGTTTTGAGTTCAACTCATACCGAGTCTCGTGAATAGCATTTGAGACAGGGTTAAATGACCGCCTAGTCACACTAGTGCTGATTGACA